GGCGGAGGGTTCGCCTGTGTCCATCGTCTGCTGTGTATCAAGAGCCCCGTGTACTGTATTGTATATATGTTCCCATGTACGGGGTACATGAACAGCGTGGCGAATTTACGTTCGGCATCTACATATGCCCAGGTGTGGGGAAGTATGGGGACATAGCCTGACGTCCTCCAACATCTAGTTTCCCTCTTAATCCTTTTTACCATTATAAAAGCCAATACCCCATCGCATATCCTGCCCCTGATGCCAGACATGAAACCGGGAAGCCCCATATATTCCGAAGGTCCCCATCAATCGCCATTTGAACCACCCCCAAAAAACAATCAGGTCAACTCAACCACCCTTTTCAGCCTTCGAAGATCCCCCACGCTTTACTTGCCCCGTTTGCCGCCCTTGCCGGGGTTGTCCCGGAGGCGCCTCTGTACGTACATAAATCTCCTCCAGCGCCCTGAGCGCATTCGCATCCCCCTGCAGCACGCGGCGGTTAAGCACCTCCAATTCAGCCATCTGTTTCCCCGTCTGTGCCCAGCCCTGCAACTTCGCCTCGAAGTTCTGGTTGCGTTTCTGGGAGAAGGTTGTGCGGACGACATCTGTTTCCCCCTTGGCGCGTTTGGCGTTCATGAGGCGCTCAAGGAAGCGGGCTTGGTTTGTTGAGGCTGTTGTTTGAGGTGGTGGTGGTGGTGGTGGTGGTGGTGGTGGTGGTGGTGGTGGGGTAGATGCATCTCCTGCTGTTGCAGTGGGTGTGGATGTGGCTGTTGAGCCTTGGGTGTCACTACTTTGTTTGGGTGTTGTAGAGGACCCGGAAATCAGATTTGCCTTTTGGCCCAAGATTTTGACACGATTGGCGGAGATCAGGTCATACTCTTGATGATGTCGGAGGCGAGGGAGCGTGGAGCGTTCTTCGGGCATAGAGAAGGTCATCTCTGTTCCGACGAGGTCGACCCATGAGCAGGAGAAGATTTGGTTCCGATAGGAGATTATCGGGTTGTCGGAATGCAAGTCCATGATCTGGATCTGGTCTTGATGCCGCAGGGTCTCTAGATCTGGCTCTGTGCTGGCATTGGCTGGCTGCTGATCATTATCGTTGGCCTTTAAGTTTGGGAAGTGCGGGGAGTCGAGCGGGGTTGCGGGTGGGGGTTGGGATGGTTCCGCAGTGGACGTGTCATGAGATGTGGAGGGAAAAGATGTGTTTCGTTTCCGTGGGGCTCGAATGAGGCCATTGGAGGATGTTAGGTCGAGGTTGAGGTAGAAAGTCTTGTGGTCGCGACTATTAGCGGGGTCTTTTGAATCTTGAGCAGATTTACAGTCTCAAGTGCTTCAATATGAAAAACTTTCTTCGAGCAGGTATAGAGTTTGAGATTTACGCACCTCAGTCGCGGAATCATCATATTCGTATTCATAGTCCAAATCGTCTGATGCATCCATGGGGGGCAGATGGCCTGGAGAGGTAATTTTTTGAACCCGATTGCGCGGTGGCTTGCTCAGGTAGGACAGACAGATAATGGTCCGGAACCAAGGGCTTCCTAACGTAGGCTGAGTGAGGGAACTGGTAATTTACTCTTTGTATGTATGTTCATGTTTAGTATAGATTAATTAAACTTGGAATAGCCATCAGCGAGAGCAGTTAACCGCATTCGTTTCCAACCTCGTTCACGCGGAGGCGGAGGGCGGATAGCAGCTGGAGTTCCCAGATTGCTACCTCGAGCACCGCGAACGAATGTTGAGTTCAGATTCAGCCATACATAATCGTTCCTAAAGCATGAAACATTGCAGTCGTCGCACAGACGTTCACAAATTGAAAGAAGACCAGAAAAAGGAAGGGAATAAGACACGGATGGTGAGCACGGATAGCACAGGTGGTATTTTTGTAGCTTGGTTTGAATGGCGGAGAAAATGATTTGGGAGATTGACATGATGACATAAGCTGGAAGTTAACTAGTTTAGCTCCCAAATATCAGCTATCTCTCACATCTTCACATCTTCATACACACAGCTTTTGATCTTCTTCAAATTGTTGATTCGATCTTGAATAAGATGCCTTAGTGCAGGCCACAGGGTTAAATAGTTAATATCTAGCATAAATATTATTGCGCAGCAAGAATGGAATCTCAACAGCGCGCTGTAACTCCGCCGCCAGTCAACTCTGCGTCATCCAAGCCCAAATCACCTTTGACTCCAGAGCAGCTTCGCAAAATTGTAGGTCTGTTTGCATTCCATGTAAAAAGTTTTGCGCATACTCACATGAGATATAGGAGATAAATCGAATGAAAGCAAAAGCACTTCGAGAGCAGCATGATTCTGAAGTGCGAACTGTCTCATTATCTGGAGGTTCTGTTTCTGCAGGACAAAAGCGACCATATTCAGCAATTTCTTCTTTAAAATCTCCTTCGAGCTCTCGCGATGCACGGTCAAATAAACCCAAAGAAAGACCTCTTGATGAGATCCTCCCGGCGCGTAACTTCACAAAATATGTGGAGTACGACCTGAGCAAGATGACTGATACTAAAGGAGGGTTTTTAACAGTGGAAGATGATCCGCATAACAAGGTTTTGCACACCAGTGAGAAAGACACAAAACCCGCTCACATGACATTAAAAGAGTGGGAGCGACATCAACTTCTACAATCCTTACGCCGGGAGAAGGCAGGGCCGTTCGAGCCCGGGCTGAGTGTCCTTGATAAGGAACAGAAGTCATGTCGAGAATGCGGCAGCATGGAGATTGACTGGAAATGGGAAGAAATATTGAAATGCGCTGTTTGCAATTCTTGCAAAGAGAAGTTCCCTGAGAAATATAGCCTCCTCACTAAGACAGAAGCAAAGGAAGATTATCTATTGACAGGCTGTAAGTAGTTTGATACACTTTTTTTTGTTTGTATTCTTTATATTGTTTTTGCTTGTGCTGTTTTTTGTTGAAGTCTTCTTCTGAGGCGCATCCACTAACTGAGCTCCTTTCTCTACACTTTTCAAATTCACCAGCTGAACTGAATGATGAAGAGCTTCTACCTCATCTTGAGAGACCAAACCCTCATAAAGCAACCTGGAATAACATGATGCTCTACGTTCGATTCCAGGTAGAGGAGTATGCGTTTTCGCCAAAGAAATGGGGATCACCTGAAGCTCTAGATGCTGAATTTGAGAGGCGGGAGGCTACAAAAAAAAGACAGAGAGAAGCTAAATTTAAGACCAAACTTCATGATTTGAAGAAGCGAACTCGAGTTGAGGCATACCGACGAAGCCGCCAGGCTGCATCAGGAGAAGGGGCAGGTGGCCATTTTGGTGACGATCTTGGCAGCAACAAACATGTGCATGAATGGGGGAGACTTGTTGAGAATCCTGAGACAGGCATCGGGATAAAGACATGCGTGGGTTGTGGGATGGAGGTCGAAGAACTTGAATTCTGAATGTCGTCGTCTTCTACTCCTAGTCATTATTCACATATGCACATACATTACCGTACAAACGTGGAAATCTGGAAATGGGAGATTGAAGGTCCAACCGGGGAGAGGAAGGGCTGTAGGGGCTGTTTTGCGCAGTCCAGTGCCCACTTGACTGCCTCCTAACACCATGTCCAAGTTTTGTCGGATCTAAGATCTATTATATTGTGTACCTGAACTGCCACGCACCGCACTGTACAGAACATGTCTTGTAGTATGCATGGATGTATACACACACACACACACACACACACACATATATATATATATATATATATCCACCCCGCCAAAGAACAAAGGCCCAAAGGACAGAGAGAGAGAGCAGCTAAACAATGAATATATAGGGAAACGGCTTGAGACTTGCTTAGGAGAGACGCCTCCCACTTATGACGAAATCACCGGGAATTTCAATCACTAACTAGTTAGTTATCTATAGTAACAATGATAATATAATCAAGGCGGGAAATCACTTTGGTATTCAAAAGCCACATAAAAAAGTAATTTGTAAGTTATTTATCTTCTTGCTAAGAATAGTGAGCACAACTTACTTTTGCAGTGCATAGTTATTTATGTATGACAGGACTTGTATGTGCCTTCGAGATCAGCCATTGGACGGATGGAACCTGAAACAAGAAAGTCAGCGTCATCGTTCCCATCCTTCCCACCACCCAACTTTTGCACGACCTGCAACAACCGAGCACCAACAGCCAACCACAATGCGTTATCCACGTTATCCACGTTATCCACCGTCTACCTTAACTCTGAGACACGCAAGGGCGCATTCGAGAATCAAGACCAAACTCCCCCCTTTCTCTGTTGCTGGATCCCCTGGCTATTCCCCCGTTCTATTCGCAAGGAGTGAGTGAAATGGTCCGTAGCCTGCCAAAGGACTTACTTTCCTGCGACTTAACGGCAAAAACTAACTATCCGGCCATATTCGATCGAGTGCTTACTGCAGGTAATAAGCTTACCGCGACTTCCTGGACGAAGGATCTCCCATCAGCTCGCATTTCGTGACGAGACCCCTTAGCTAATGCTATGAGATATAGCTGCCACTACAGCTCGAAATCAGCGCTCGCATCTCTAGCTTAACAGCTGCAGTTATCAAGTCAAGAGTAGGTATTGTCTTTAGATTTAAATTTCTTGGAATGGCCCGGCCAGTTCTCCTTTCCCGCACCGTTTCTTGTTGATTGATTTCCATACTTGGGATGGCGATGGCGATGGGGATGGGGATGGCGGATCCTATGACAAGCATCCCCTCAGTCTATAGAAGAAGTAATGTCAAACAGGCCATTCATAGGCTATATCTCGGTCTTCGTTGGCCCTGGATTCCGTCACAACTGTCCTCTTTCTGCATGACGCCATAGATGGACCGAAACTCCTGAGTTCCGCCTGCTGCCGGTCCGAACTTCTGACTGGCCCTTGTGTTTGGCCGAACATGCCGTTTGACAGGGATATCTTCCGATTTTTATTTTCCACCGCTGCGCCTTTGATTATTATTTGATTGCTCGTTTTGAATCTTCATACGGGTCCCGGGAATCGGCTTGTAGGGCTCGTAGGGCTTGTATCTATGCATTCCCGTCAGGCATCAAACCGAACCATATGGGAAATCCGCCATACTTTCTGCGGTGTTTTTTATGTATAGATATATATACATATATATGTGTCTTTTCCTTTCCATTTCTCAGGATCAGTACATTATTTTCTCGTATTTCCGTCGCTCACACCGTTAAATAGTGGCCCTCCAGCCGCCCCTTGGCCATGGCTCCCACCTGCCGCTCCTTCCTCCTACACCCTCGCTTTCGCCGCTTCACCAACATCCTTTGCTCGCCTCCTCGACATCATTCGCTTCTTATATAGACAATCCAGACGAGGATGAAGACGAAGCCCCCACAATTATTGTCCCAGAATCCGAGTGTGAAGCGGAACACGGAAATCCTACTGATGTGGCACCCGGAAACCTTCCCGATATTGAACCCGTGTTGGTTGCTCAGCGTCCCGGTGTTCCGTGGGCGCAGTCGGACCTTTCGATCTGCCAGCAAATGAAGGCAAAATCCCGCGCTGTCATCACCGTTCTATCGTCTTTAATCACATGTGTATCTATGAACGGTCTGGCCAGGGCTCTTAACCCTTCTGCATTCGTTTGGTCTGATGAGGATAGAGAGGAAAAGCATTGGCTTGCGACTTCCAATTCTTGGTGGGATCGTAAAGCATGCCGCTGGCTCGGTCTCTGTGGCGTTGCTCACTACCATGGGGTAAAGGGCCGTTTTGGACATCGCAAATTTAGACACGATGGTCAGATACCACAGATTGATGATGACAACCGGGATTGGGAATACGCATGGCCAAGTGGAAACAAAACTAGCCCCGAGGATTGGGCGGATGATGAACGTCGATTACGCTTGATACCCGATTACGTTCTGGAATATGCACCTCTGGTTCATCTATTTTCTGGTGAACAGTTTTGGCCTACAGATATTGCGGAACATTTACATCACGTCACACCACAATTGAACTATACTCCAATTAAATCTCAGGAAGAGCATTCTACCCTCTCCAACCTTGATGAATTGAATAAGTGGCAGCTGGGGAGATTTGTTTTCTTGACCAGCAATGACAATGTTGAGGGTCGCCCGCTTTGGCTGGGAGGGAAGGGAAATATCCCAAAAGCTGTTGACTCGGGGGATGAATTGGAGTGGAATGGTGGAGTTCATGGAGCGCAGGATGACCTTCCGCTCGACGATATGAAAGACTGGTATGATGTGGGAGATGGAAGTTCTCGATGTGAAAGTTGCGATAGAACGGACCCTGGTTCTCCTGGACAGCCTGTTACTACGGAGACTTCTGAAGGGGAGCAGTTTGCGGCTGGAGTATTTAACGAACGAAGCACACGCGAAGTGAAGAACAACAAGTCTGGCCACAGCAAAGCCCCTGCAGTTTTAATCGTCGTGGATAAAGGCAACGACGTTGTGGATGCATTCTGGTTCTATTTTTACAGCTTCAATCTGGGTAACGTCGTTCTCAATATCCGTTTCGGGAACCACGTTGGCGATTGGGAACATTCTCTTGTTCGATTCCATAATGGAAAACCAAAGGCAATATTCCTCAGCGAACATTCGTTTGGAGAGGCATATACCTATGAAGCGGTGGAGAAAATTGGGAAAAGGGTAGGTTTTCTCCCTGCAACAGAACCTGAGAGATAAATAAAGTAATTCAATCTGACTAACACCTCCTAGCCAGTGATATACTCCGCAACAGGAACCCACGCCATATACGCCACCCCAGGCACGCATGCCTACATTCTCCCCTGGGGCCTCCTACGCGACGTAACCGACCGCGGCCCCCTCTGGGACCCCATCATGAACTACCACGGCTACACATATGACTCTACCAACGACATCCTCCGCGCCGCAAACACCACACCCCACTCACCAACAGAATGGTTCTACTTCGCCGGCCACTGGGGCGACAAATACTATCCCCTTAGCGACGAGCGGCAGTACAGATTTGCCGGCCAATACCACTATGTGAACGGACCCTTGGGTCCGCGGTTCAAAAACCTTGGCCGAAAAACGGTTTGTCAGGGCAGTCCGAGGGATTCGTGCGTCATTCGGAATTGGATTGGGAATAGCATGAGACCGAAACGGTGGGTTAATGTTGGGGAAGGAGAGATGATTAGTGAAGAGGATGCGCAGCAGCTTTTTGGGGATGAGAAGATAATGGTATGAAAAGGGGATTGGGAGATTAGTTTGATTTTCCCCTTTTCCTACATCCCCCCCCTCCCCTTTTTTTTCTTTCTTTCTCTTTCTTGGTATTGGTGCTATTGTGAACTTACAACAATCGTTGATTTGGTTATTTATTTTCTTTCGTTCCTTTTCATTTTTTGGACCTCAAGGGTGGCGGGCAGAGATTTGTTTTTCTCCCTTTCGGCAATGTGTTCTTATACTATACCCTTGTTTGTCCGTCTCTTAGGCGTCTTGCCGGTACTGATCCCAACGAGGGATATTTGCATATACAGGTGATAATTGGTTTAGAGAAGAGAACATGGATATAGCTTCTAAAGTATCCACTGCATTTTGCCTCTTGAATACATAAAAAGTTCACAAAGACAGAACAGAAATATAAGAGAAGCACGTAGGAAAGAGATGAGGTATCATGAGCCGTGAAATGTACATACATATGTATATGCACGCGATTTGGGAGGGGGAAAAATAGAATGTATAGGTACATGCATCAGAGGAGTAGATAAAGCATAAGAATGACAGGGAGAGATGAAAAGATCTCAAGAAAAAAAAAAACAAGGTGAGAAAGAGGCTGAATCAAAGCTCGCGGCGTGTTTCTTCCTTTAGCACCTCATAACCCTCTAAAATATAACGAGGGAAGCTAAGGTTGCTAGGTGAGCGCGCAGAGCCTTACTATATATATAGATAGAATCAACAAATAGCAGCCCCAGAAAAAAAAATCAAGTGAATAGAAAGCATAGAAAGAGATTTGAGTAGACCCATTCACAATTTAAAGAGAGAGGGAAAATAATGATAAAAGTAATGAAAAAAGAAAGGAGGAAAAAAAAAAAAAAAAGAAAAGAAAAGAAAAGAGAAAGAAAAAGAGAAAGAAAAAGAAAAAAAGAAAAATAAAACGGAAACCCCTGCATACTACCTACCGGAAGGCCCAGATAAGGGGACATAATATTGTATAAAACGAGGAGGGAATATATGAGATAGAAATAGCGATAAAGGGTAAGAAATGAAAACGGTTAAACGCCTATTGTGGGAGAGTTGGAGAACAGGAATACTCATGGCCATTGAAGGGGTAGAAAGAAATGGGATAAAGTAGTACTGTAAGGAAAAAAAAAGGGCAAAACCCCAGAGATGAAAACGCCGTCCACCAGTCGCCTCCAGACCCAACCTGGGTAAATAGATAAGAAATCCCCTTCGGGGGAACGAGGTAATAGAGGGAAAATGTAAAATAAACCAGAGATCAGAACGAAACGGGAGAACGAGGTGGGAGAAGGAGGGAGGGAAAATAAGAAAACTTGTCATGGAATACGAAAAGCGAGGATAGGATGGATGAGAAGGGAACAGGGACAAGACAAGCAAAATCGGAATAAAAGGTCGGTGACGATGGTGCTGGGTCGTCACTATTCTGAATTGCGGCAACAAGATAAATTTGGTGTAAAAGAGACTACAAAATCTCTCTTCTGTTGTCTTTTTCTTTAAAAAACAAATCACATTTCATTCCTACCCCTCACGTCCGGGCAGGCCTCTTCCTCAACCCAAAATCTTGCTCCTGCATCTCCCTAATTAGCCGCAATGTATCCGGGTCTGCGTCCGCGTCAGAGAAACTACCGCGGTCACGACCCGTTAGTTTGCTGCGATGACGTTGGGGAGACGCCGGCGAGGTTCGTTGGCTACGATTCTGACTCTGGCCCTGGTCTTGTTTATGGTTTGGATGAGACCTGGGACTGGGAGGCGGTTTGTTGCTTCCTTCGTCAACAGCGACACCACGTTTCTTGTCAACAACGGGAGTGTGCTGTCTCTGTTCCCTTTCGTGCTTGAAGGAAGAGGATGATGGGGAAGTGGTGGTTGAGCGGTTGTGTGATGAGGGCCAGCGACAGGTGGAAGGGGAAGATGAGGTAGTGGAAGACGGCATTTTGAGGGTGGTGGAGATGGAGGTAGTAGATGAAGATGGGAGTGTTACTGACAGGTCTGAAGGTTCGGTTGTGATTGTCACTGTGGGTAGGTTTCGTGTTGTTGCGATCTTGCAACTGCCTGCCTCCGCATCAGAAACTGCTGTTTCTGAAACTGCGCGAGATTGGCGGGTAGGGTTGCGGGATGCAGTGGTGGATGTGTAGGCAATGACGGAGCGTTCGCCATTTTGCTTCTGCTGTTCTTGTTCACTCTTAACGTTGGAAGCCTTTTCCTCGCCATATGTCTGGTTGGGATCAACCTCCAAATCATCTGCGAGCGAGGTGGGTGGGGAGACAAGACTGCTTGCTGGGGCCGTAGTTGTAGGTATGGACGTGAGTTCTGCAGCAGGTACGAGGTCCGCCTTTAAGGTTGGTGGTGAGGCGTATGACGTTTGACTTGGGCCAATTTCTTGCTGCGTTGGAATAACAGCGACTGGTTTCTCATTCTCTCCATTCATGTGGTTCATGGGAAACCCTGTTCGAACGGACTCAAAGTCAAGTTGAGCCTGGGGAGGTTGCTCGCCAGAAATGTAAGACTCTGGCTTTTGGCGCTTGGTTAGAGAGGGAGATAGATTGTCTTCACCGGATGGTGGACGCTTCGTTGAAGCCGTTGCGCGAGGTTTAGAACGTTCCTGAGCCTTGACGGGATCTATCCGGCCATTCTCATCATGAATACACCGACGCTGCAACGACCAATGGTTAGAGAAGCATGATGAAATCATTAACGAAATCACACGAGAGAGACGAGATGATGGGATAAAACCAAAAACCAACCTTGCTCTTCCTACACTCATCGCAAGCCTTACTTCTCCTCTTCTTCCCGGCACCAGAAGAATTCGAACTAAACCCCTTCACTTTCCCCGCGTTAGGCTGGGATGTCATCAACAGTGACCCGGTCGTCGAAGAAGCAGCAGCTGCGTAAGCATCCTCACCCACCGTGGCACCAGCATCACCAGCAGCAGCAGCATGCCGTTCCTTAACCCCATCCACATTTACCGCAGAAAATGTTCCAGCAGCAGCAGCAGCGACAGTAGTTATAACCCTGCCATTGATAGGCTGCTTACCTGACATTGAAGCAGTAGCAGGCACAAAACTCTCCACAAGCATCTGTTCATCCTTATGTCGACAGCGAATTCTCCGTTTCCGACAAGCGTCACAAGCAACACGTTTCGGACCCAGGCCCGTCGGCTTCTGCATCAAGCGCAGCTTATTGATATTATTATTACTATTATTAGTAGAATAAGAACTTGCCAACTGGCTAATGTCATCCTTCACATTGCTAAGTGAAGCTTTCCTTTTCGGTGGACCGGGCGTTCCGCTCATCGATGGCGCAGTTGTGGAACTAGAGCTGGTACTGGAAATGACACCGTTATTCGTATTTTCTGATGAGAGATCTGAAGGACGACGACCGCTGGTTTGCGATTCTGTCATATTTTTAGCTTCGTTGGCATTGAGCTGCGGACTTTCAGCAGCGATGTTCCGCTGCGAGCGTCGACTTGGTCTTCCAGCTGGTTTCCTATCCGACATATCAACCTTGGTGTCAAACGATATGGCACCGGGGCGCGTCCACTTGGCGGCAGGCTCATTCCCGCGCTTCCATGCAACCCACATCCCAAACTTCATAATCGTATCAACGGGATCTCCCTGTCCCTTGGGAATGGATCTCCTAACCGCATTCCTAGTCTCAGTCGTAACGCCGTCAACTTGGTATCCGCCAGCAATCAATGCAGTTCTCAGGAGATATTTTGCCAGTTCAGGCAACCCGTCTAGCTCAGCCTGGGAGTAATATCGAGCGTTATAATACTCCGTTCCCGGCTTAGCAGTATTGCCACGTTCTCCGAACTCATAGTAAATCGGATACTCACGATAGAAGCGGTAATTCTCGTCACGGGAGAAGGATTCAAGGACCGATTGCGGGATCGGGTCGTCCTCTAGGTATTTGATGGCAGCATACCATAGGATCTTCTGGAAGAACGGGTAGCGGAATTTCTTAGGTACCTTGGTGTCCTTTTCAATCTTAGCGACTTTGATTTGCATTCCGTAGTTCATTCTTGTGAGAAAGTTTCCGCCAATGACAAGACTATCTTCTGGAGTCCAGACGGCATGAATCCAACCGGATGGAATGAGCATTGTGTCGCCCGCTGAGAGATCGACGCGATAACATTCCTTAGTCTGGTTTCCAAGAAACGTAGTATCCTGCGCAGCGGAGTTGCACCATTCTTCGTACTTTTTCAGGTATTTATCCTTGGGTGGAATGAAGAAGAATGTCTTGCTTCCCCTGAGAATGTGGTAGTAAACCGAAGAGCCCCCAAAATCTATATGGAAGTCAGTGTAGCAATCCGCAACGGACATTAAGACGTAGAATTGTACTTTGGGGAAATCGCCTATGGCCTGTAGCTCGGCTGGCCACACATGATCCTGAAGATCAAGGTCGCGGACTATCCTGGGTCGACGAATGAGTCTTCCCAGCGGGCTGTTCGACACCTCGAGACTGATAACATTTCGAACAATTTTGGATGCGGAATCATCATAATAGTAATCCGCCCACTTTTGCATGTTCCATCTCTTGTCCTCCCCTTGCTGCGATTTGACATCGATCACTTCGACTCTCTCCTCCGGTCCATAGAGTTCAGCAACATGTCGAACGGTCAGACCTTGGGGGATGACCATGTCCAACAAGTCCTGACCGCAGTCGATTACTTCTGTGTAGTTACCACTATCGTCATCCGCGGGCATGTTATCTATGATTTCATCAAGTTCCTCTTCAGTGGAAACTTGAGGCGGAATATAATCAGAAGAACCGGGGACAGAGGCGCGTGTATTGAACGATGCCGGTATGACAATCGGCTCGGTCATCCCAATACCTTTCTCAAAATACTCCGCAGTGACGAGCTCGGGACGTATGCGCGCAAAGTTGTCTGGCAAGAACGTGATCTTCCCATCTTTAATTGGCTGGATATAATGATGCTCCGGAGTTTCCGTCGAGGACATTATGAACCCCTGATTCAAGCCAGCATAGTCAATAGCTGTTCGTGCCCGAGAAGACTTGCGTACAAAAGTCGTGGGTCCATGGAAAGGTCGACATGTACGACAGATAAACTTGTCAACCGTTCTGGTGTCGCGGTCACTTTTAAACCCGGCGCACACGATATGGAACCACCTATTACATCCATCGCAACTTATCCATGTCACGGAGTCCTCCTCCTCTCCATCGGATGCGATCCGGTCGAGGTTGCATGAAGCACAGGTTGCTTGACTCGAGCTGTCGTTATCAGAGTCCTCAGCTTTTAAATCGGAGGCAGGCACGCTATTTCGACGCTGGAATGGAGTGGGTGGCTTTTGTTGGACATCTAGGTGATTAGCTTGCGTGGTACCGTGAGGCTTCTCTGCAGTCTCACGCGGATCGACCTGGTCATCTTCAAGAGCATGTCCCATCAACGGGGGTAACGGGGAAGAGCCGGAGACAAGGCCATTCATCACCGGTCTTCCCAAGAATGCGGAGCCATCCGACTTCGATCGAATACGGGAAGGGGCCCCGCCAGAATTGCTCCCAAAGAAAGCGGAGGATGGTTTATTCTCAGCAGTAATGTCCCATTTCTTCACCCACAAGTCAGCAGGACCTGTAGCCCATTGAACTGCTGCAGTTCGGCGATTCGGTCTTGCCGGCTGGTTCGTGGATTGCAGCTGGAGTTGGGGTTTTGGGCTATCTTGGTAGCGGGGGAAGTTGCTTGGTCTCGCAAAGTTGAGCAACAGCTCCGCATCGGTCTTCATACTGTCGAATGCCGAGATGTGGCTTGTCACAGGCCTCGTCAGCCATGAAGGAGATGAAGCTTTTTCCGATCGAGCGCGTTTGGATGGGCGTTCGGACTGGTCGGTACTAGAGGGTTGATGGTGTTTGGTGGTGGTGGCGAGGCCAGCGGACGCAGGTTCATCGTATGTAAGAGGCGCAAAGGTAGGGCTTGTCGCAAGGGCAATGGTAGCCAGCGTATCGATGTTTGAGCCGGATCTCTGCCCGATTTTGTTCGCAGGGTTTGCAGTTGGATGGCTGGCGGATGATCCACGGTAGTGGTGATACTCTTGTTGATGTGGTTGTGGTTGTGGTTGGGGATTATGAGGATGTTGACTTCCCGTTCTATTTCCATCCTGAAAAGGATTATTCCACTCATGCTTTATTGAAGATTCCTTATCACCAAAAAATGTATCATATCTGGGTTGCTGGCCATCGCGGGAAGGGACGTTGCGGGTGATGGAGGAGGCGGACGTGGGGGAATGGGCGGGAGTTCGGGCCGGAGAGATCAACTCCACGGCATCTCGGGGTGGGGATGGCGTGTGGTAATCTGATGGGCGCATCATGGAACGATTCCGGAAGGATGAGCAGTTCGCCATGACTAGTTTTATTGGCTGGAGATGGCAGACTCGTCGGAATGGATCGAAGGAAGGGGGCGGATGGGTTGCGGACAGTTTCGCGTTTGTTGGGAAAGGGAAAGGCGGGGAAGGGTGATTGTTGACCACAGAGGTCTAACAGTAGACGATGGGTGATGCGCGACGACGCATTCCTGAAGGATCAGAGAGAAGGAGGATGGAGTAGGATGCAGGGATAGGGCAACGGAGAGGATGGTAGGGAGAGGAGGGTGACTGGGATGAGGGGATATGCTTGGAGGGTTGTTGTCCGCGGTGAGAGGGCAGTCAGAGGGCGAAGTGAGGGAGACTAAGCGAAACAACGGGGCGGCTGGATTGGAGCGGCGAGCGGGTAACTAGACCAACTCTGGCACAGAGCTCTCAGCCAGCGTGCAGGGCGGCCATAGAGAAGCCTAAGCGATGAGAATTGGGGATCTTTTCCGATTGGCGAAGGGGGGGTGTTTCGGTGGGAATTGTTGTTGTCGTTGAGAGGGGAACTGGAGGGCGAAGACGAAAGAGGAGGAAGATGAGGAGGAAGAGCCGCAGCCGGTGGTATTGGTATTACAGATGATTGGACGTATGTTTGCTGCGAAATGTGTATATCATGGGGTATTACGTTTACACTCAGCTCTCTTTTGTCTTTCCAGCCGAAGACTCTTTTTGAGATTCTTCTGATATCAAACTGAGAGACAGCCTTGATTTATTTACATTTGATATATTGTAGGAATTACAGAGCACATACTTGAGTAATTCTATTACGTATTTACCTACTAATAAACCTCTTCATATTGTGACTGCTCATACTTCCTCTCACACAGTCGCCTTGTTCACATCGGCAACAGAAGAAGAACAGAGCCCACACTTTGTCGCTGCTGCAACCTTGACAACGAGAGATACATATCCAAGGCAACCACCAAGGCTATCCGCCATCTGCCGCAAGTGCATCCCCGCTCTAGTCAAATCAAAACTTGTCCACGGAAGTCGGCTCCGCCTTTGCTCCCTCCGTTATGCCACCACATCTCTCTTCTAGCCCCTTCCATGGCATAAACAATGCCTATTAAGAATCCAAACGGTTCAGGATGGATATGGATGGATATAGAAAAACGAAAGCGGTGAAAGCGGTATGGGTATGATAGCGGAGATCAGAGATGGGATTATATGCGGTGCATGAGATCCGTAACCTGTCAAGAACATCCAGCCAGGGCCATGCGCTAGAGGAAACAATAGCTGCGTAGACACGGACGCAGATAATAACGATAGGGATCGGGGTTCACCTGCCATCTAATACGCAAGCGGAAGGCTGCCGGGTTGTGTTCGAAGGGAGCTCCTCGGAGGTGCTTGGATCATGTCCATTGGAATCGGAATGTTGATGCCCTCTATCTAAAGGCTAGTTTTGATAACTTACTTAGTAGCAAGTTCTTTCTCAATCGTATATTCTATGCTTTAATGCATTCTCCGCCATTGGTCCATTGCTAAGCTGCTGCAGCTGGAATAAGGCACCACAGCAGGCTTTGCGAGTCGACCTTCTCCAAGGCGGGGAATTGATGGGAAAGAAATGATCTGTCCATTAATTACCTGACTCGTGCGAATTGACCCTCAATGGAAAATAAATAAGACATTCAATTAATCAGGCGCATTCACAGCAGCGGGATATCTATCCCATCCAACGCCAGAGGATAGCAGAGGTCACCCTCCAAAAATAGTGCATTGGGTCCAGGCCTAAGCCTATGACGAATTACGCGGATTGTAGGGAAACCTGGGAGCTAGCTGTCAATTGAGTATTTCATATTTTGGTACCAATTTGTGCATGCATGCAATGCATGCAGAAGTGGGAGTCCGATTTGGACAAGACAATGATCACAGTACATGGGTGTGTTTGGGGGGACCAGAAACTGATTGCTCTGAATGAGTGGTTACTCATTTAGTCATAAACAAGCAATCATAACCTGTTCTTGGTAACTATATCCTTTTAAGCTATCTATTCATTTGATACAGATAACTACAGCGGCCTTGGTTGTTAAATAATGTAATGCACCAATGAGCGGATCACCTTTCATTTCAATTCTTTCTATCCAATATGCCAGCCACCCCTAGCAAAGAAGTTTCTAATCAAGAAGGATTATTTTGTACTATTCAAACTTCTGTTAATTATTCTAGTAATTTATAATCATTTTCAAGTTTTCAATCTATTTATATATATTGATAGACAAATAAGTTCAAAAACTTTATAAAATAAATAAACTAATAAAAAAATCTTGATTAAATTATTTAAGATCTGTAAATATAAGGATGATTAAATATCACTATTTTATAAAGATATAATACCAGGACACATTTATTATAAAGGAGAAAGAGAAGCAAAAAATATAAAAGATCTAATCACAGCATTCAATGTAGAAAAAGGGTTTTGACAAGTGAAAAAGTAGCTGAGCGTACTTTTTCATCTTCTGAGCTTAGGTTGCTGGCAGCAGAGTCTAATCCGTGCTCATGCAACAATTGTTTCACATTCAGGCGCAACAAATCTAGATGCCCTCACCCTAGTGTAATTTAATTTAATATAATTATTTGCCGCTGAGTGAAGATATTCCGGGTTAAAATCTAGTTGAGTAGTTATGCTATTCGTGGATTGTTGATCGGTTCGGTGGGGTTGATCGGCTCAGTGGGGGAATTAACATTAGTTTAAGCTAGCTAATTAACTAACTAGTTAAAGTTAAACTAGGGCTAACTAAGTTAGTTAGTTAACTAACTTTATATTAACATGGCCCTTCCAAGCTGCCTAAATATCCACTAGCCCGCATATGAACTAGTACGTTACTTGACAGCCATTCCCACGCTAAAGGACGAAAGCGGCCAAGCGTGAATTTGTGCGTTTTTGCCCAGGCGGGTCTCGCGCATTATCCAGCCCAAAGGTTGTCGGAAGCGGCTTGTGCCTAATACACCACGTCTCCCCCTCAACTTATCATCCAACTCCATTCCTTTTACATTCCCACAATACCTCCCCCCATCATCCATCACTCCGGTTAATACTCTCGCCCGTCCGTGGCCGTCTTCACTCTCAAGCTACTAGCCTTATCGCCGCATACTCCGCCCAAAAAGATATGAGCCGCAGCACTAAGCTTGCCCCGGAAGCCAACAGGTACCTACCAACATATCCCCGTTCCTCGCCCAGATAAATTTTCTAATTTGTGAATACTGGATGCTCATATGCTGTGGCAACAAAAAAAAAAAAACACTAGGATCCTTTTCGTAAAGAATCTCAGGTGTGTGATTCAGTCTCGCTCTTCGAAGAATAATTTAGAACTCGCGCCCGCCAAATATAAACTCTGCCCAACATATAATTTTGCGTTAAGTTTTTTCCCTTCCATGCGATAAACGACGACAACTCCAGACGAAGATCTAATTCTGCCTTTTTTTTTTTGGTTTGACATAGCTACAACGTCACCGCAGAGGAGCTGTTTGACCTTTTCGGGAAGTTTGGGCCTATCCGGTAGGGGACATTCACTCTCTCGCTTCCTCCCCGATTCACATGCATTCGCGCGATCTGGTGTATCCATACATTGCTATTACCAGGCGGAGAGTGTTTTTCTTGCCGTGTGCTATTCACCTACTCTTTATTAACCATACCTCTTGGAAACGGATTCTAGTCAAATACGCCAGGGCATCGCCACAAACTCCAAGGGTACCGCATTCGTCGTCTACGAGGATGTCATCGATGCAAAGCAGGCCTGTGATAAATTGAACGGCTTCAACTTCCAGAATAGATACCTTGTCGGTTAGTATATATATATATTTATATATAGAATACCCATCTTGTAATGCGTATTGGGTATGGGAATGCGGTTGTATCGGAGAGTGCTTTGCTAACTTGTCCATAACTTAATAGTCCTATACCACCAACCAGAGAAAATGGCCAGATCGAAAGAAGATCTGGCCGCACGACAAGAAAACCTAGAACGACTTAAGCAGCAACACGGCATCGATTGATTTTTCATATTTATCTTTTTTGTTTTTTTTTTCTTTCTCCCTTCTTTTCTATCTGTTCATGTACTTTACGTTGTTGTTATTTATTCAATTCCCCATTGTTATTACCTTTACTTCTTACTTCTTTTTCTTCTCTTTTCTTCTCCTTTTGTTGACGCATCCTCATTCCCTCTTCTCTGTTTTCAAGTGTATCCCGCTCTTCTAGTGCAAGAGGGTCATCCTTCCAACCATACACGTCACTCCCGAGGATATTATCGCATGGTTTAGCACTGGGAGTTTCGAAACGTTGCGGGAGCTAAGACTGCTTGGTACCAATCCTGTCTTTGGCTGCCTATCCATCGACCACTTAAGAGAACGGAGATAATTGGATATTTTGAGATCGTCTCCTCTATCTCGTACTTCTGTTCTTGCTCTGCCCTTTGTTTGGCCCATGTTTTTCATTTTCATTTCCTCAGCATATGATATGTCACGTCTGACTCATGTTCACGATTAGTATTGTTTCTTCTACTGTTATTGTTATTGTTATAGGCGTAGGGGGGAGGAGGAACATTCAACAGCATGATCACGCAAATACATATAGCCATTTCCGACACAATTTGATTTTGAAAGTAATATATTGTGGCATGAGCTCAACTAGGAGGGAAGAAGTATGGCAAATATGGCTAGACACGATATAGCTATCCCTCGCCTCCCGTTTTCCTTTTGAACCCAGTCTAACCGCGCCGCTCTATGAATGCTACTTGCAGCAAAAGTGGCCTCTTTTGTGTTTGGAAAATGACAGTTATTGAACCATTCCACATTTACCATTTATCCGTTGTAGCGTAACTTCTGAGGCAAACTCCCTCCTTTTAGCCGCACTCAGCGGCAGGGCGAAAGGGGGTCACCTGACCGACACCGCTAACCCCGACGTTGCCTTAGCTGATAGCTACCGCCCGCGCACCTCTGCGGATTTCTCAACGTCAACCTCAAAACACCGCCACAACAGGTAAAAAGACTCGAGAAAACGGATCTGAAGGCTTACTCTATAGCAATGAAAGCATCGGCTTAATAACTTTCGTTCCTTTTACCTATTTGTTTTGCTTAGTCCTCCATTTAGCCTCGGACTCGAAGAGCTCCCTCTGGCGTACTAACAACTTCTACAACAATTTCCCAACCTTTCGGACAGATATGTAGTATTGTATATATTATAATACCATCGAAATTTCTCTATTAACAAATACGAACAACAAGAGAAGAAGCCGAAGAAAGAGGAAATAACCAAACCAACCACCACACATGCCTCCGATCCACAGGCAGCTACATCCTACTCGCGAGACGTAAAAAGTGTCGATCTCCTGACCTCCAAGGAACCCAGCCATGACAGATCTCCTCTCTACACAAGCCTCACATGCCATCACCTCCCTTGCCCTCGCAACAACCCACTCCATCTTCGCCCCCTCGCCCTCCTCCTCTTTGTCCCTATCTCCATCCCTATCCACCCCATCCTTCCTACCGACCATGCGTCCCTCACCAGGATCCACCGCAACCCCCTCCCCTTCCCCTTCCCCAACCGCCCCCAATGACGACAACAACGGCGAATGCCAGCTCCTAGGCCCCTTCGCGCTCCTCGTCCAAGTTACCCTGGGCGCTCTTGCCCTTCTCGCTCTGGTCTATAAGCGTTGGCGCGAAAGGCCCCAGCGCCCAATAAAAGTATGGGCGTTCGACGTGTCCAAGCAAGTCTTCGGTTCTGCCATGCTGCATCTGGCCAACCTGCTCGCGTCGATGTTCTCTGCGGGCCAGATACCCGTGACCGCGACGTACCAGCCGAACCCGTGCTCGTATTATTTGTTGAATTTGGGGATTGATGTACGTTTGCACTGGTATTTCTATATGAATATATAGAGTACAGAGATAGGGTTGAGAGAGCAATCATTGTACGGCATTTTGGATTTGGCTAACCGCTGTATTCTTTATACCATGACAGACAACCCTAGGCATCCCCATCCTAATACTCATCCTCCGTGTCCTCAACCGCGCCGCCCTCTTCACCCCACTCGCCAACCCTCCCGAATCCATCCAATCGGGCAACTACGGCAGCCCTCCCCGTGCCACATGGTGGTTCAAGCAGTCCATGATCTACTTCGTTGGCCTGCTCTGTATGAAAACCTGTGTCATAATCCTCATCCATATGCTTCCCTTCATCGTTAAGGTGGGAGACTGGGCCCTCCGCTGGACGGAAGGGAATACAGCTGTGCAAATATTTTTCGTCATGTTGCTGTTTCCGGTCATTATGAATGCGGTGCAGTATTATATTATTGATATCTTCATTAAGAAGCCGAGTGAGAAGGTGGAGGATGGGGAGGGGGATGATGATGAGGATGGGAGTGGGAATGGCGCTGGTGGGGTTGGCGGCGCTGGCGGTGCTGGTAGGTATGATAGTCTGGATGATGTGGTGCGGGGTGATGATCGGCATAGAAGGAGTGCGTTGTTGGCGGGGATTGATAGAGATGACTTAAGTGATGAGGAGGATTATATGGTGTTTCCCGATGATGATGATGAAGGGAGGGTGAAGAGGACGCTGGAATCTGCTGGTGGTGGTGGTGGTGGTGATGATGGTGTCGTTGAAGGGTGATAGTGATGGCGATGGTTCTGGGTTGGATATGCACCTGACTGAAAGACGCTGCAAGTGATCGATTGATGGATCGATTGAGATGCGGATATATCTCTCGTTTTCCCATCGTCTCCCTCGGCCAACTACTCTTGAACCCCCTTTTTCATAAAACTCCACAGGGGCTTATGAGTCGTTCCCCTGCGTTCGAGGTACACTAGTTTCCGTCTTGTATTGCATTGTTCGTTTCTGCTCTCTGTTCGCGTTTTTTTAGCCGGTGAATGGCGTTGGCGAAAGCATTATGTTTTCTTTTTCCATTTTCCCATCTCGTTTGCTCTTTACTCTTCTCTTTTTGGAAATTTCTTTGAAGGCCTCCGCATTCCCACGCCAGGTTTGGGCTCCGATGCAACTTACATACCCAGCATTGTACATCTTTTTTAGCTCCCATTCTGGTTTTTACAACAATGTTTTCTAGATGCATATATTAATATCCCAGTGGATGATAGGCATTTTTCTCTTCTCTCGCTTTCTTTTTCTAAAGTTCAATTTATTCTTTCTACCTCTTCTTTTAATCTGGTGATATATACGCCTGCGGCACTATTTTATATGGACAGAAACTAATTGTTGTTGAGCTACGATTCTACTTATGTTCCCTATGAGAATATCTTCGATTGGTCGGTCACATGTGGCTGGGGTAGGCGTTATCTTAATCATCCGAAGCATATGTAGGTAGATGCGTCAATTCTTGTCAGGATATCCATAGGGGTTATGTATAATGCTATCACAATGTTAATCTTATTCATGTCTATGAATTTGCAGCGAAAACATTTTCGTATATGTTATTTTGATAATGCTTCAGTCACGTCCAGGGGAGACAATTCACAGCTTCTACCAATATTTAATAGGTGAAGGATCACATGATCTCCACCCGCTAAACTGACTTGGGAAAATATGCAGCCTCAGGCATCATTTTTACTTCGAGTCTCTTAACCTTTTTTTTTCTTTTTTTTTTTTTTTGGTAGACGACCCAAGACGGAAAACATGCAACATTGAATAGAGAGGAGTGCCCACGCTGCTATCCATGGATAGAGTTACCTGTTATTCCATACAGTCTAACTAAGCTATTATCTTCCTTACCCTAATTTACTTCCGCTTCCAAGCCTGCAACCTCCCGCAATGCCCACCATGCAAAAAGTGCGCCTAAAGCAGAAAAAGGCGCCTTCAACTGCCACTACATTACAGTCCAACGAAGAAGCTTTCTTCATTGATACCCAGGACGCTCTAGAAGGCGATCATGCCAGTGAAAGTGGGAGTGATCGTGATGAACCAATGCCTAAAGACGAGACGGAGGAGAAGCTGGAACGATTGCTTTTCGGCGATGCGAACGGGTTCCATGATGCGTTGAGGGAACATGATGCTGAGGGCATGGAGCTGGTGCTTGCGGGGGGTAGTGGCAGTGAAGGCGCACAGGAAAAGGGAGAGGGAGGGGGGGAGGAGGAGGGTCTGGAAGGGGTTGATGATGCGGATGTAGGTCCATCATTCGGTTCTGGTTCTCAGTATGGGTATTTTTCTTTGGCGCTAATATATATATATATTTTACTATCTGGATAGCTCTTCTTCCTAGATTCTGGCTCCGCTGTTGCCGATGACGTCCAGTTTCATGTGACGCAGGATACAGCAGACGGCCAGCATGAAAATGAACCCCCGGCCGCATGGGAGGATAGCGACGATGAGCGAATCACCATCTCTCTAGCTGGGAATAATCGGCTGAGAAAGCTACGGGTATCCGAAGCGGATGACCTGGTTACGGGCTCGGAGTATATACGGCGGCTGCGCAAGCAGTTTGAGCGGCTACATCCTGCTCCCGCGTGGGCGAATTCGTCCAGCGCAACGGGTGGGAGAAGTTCGAAGAGGCAGAAGACGGGAGCTCAGAAGTCCGATGTAGAGAGCGTTTCCGGTTCTGACCAGATGGATACGGATGAAGAGGAGGAGATGTCTCTGCAGCCGTTGGCACGGTTGTTGCAGAATGCTGGCAATCTTACGAGAGGAGAGGATACGGCTAAAAGCGGCGGGAAGCGGAAACTCCGCCAGGAGGTGCTGGACGTACAACGGATGAAGGATGTTGGTCGGGGCCAACCTGTAAGTTTTACCCCCTTTGCTTACAGTGATTGATTTTCCGTCTTCCGAATCTTTCTACTCATATCAATCCAAAACATAGTCTTCTGTCGACTCCCTCTCCTTCCACCCACACTATCCCCTCCTCCTCTCCTCCGGCCCTGCCTCCACCCTATTTCTACACCACATCTCTCCCAAATCGGCCTCACCAAACCCCCTCCTCACCTCCCTTCACATCCGCCGCACCCCGCTTCATACAAGCACCTTCTCTTCGCTCACAGGAAACCAAATCTACTTCTCCGGCCGCCGCCGTTACTTCCACATCTGGGACCTGGACACAGGAAAAGTGGAAAAGATCAACAGCCCCCCCGACCGCAAAGAAGAGCAAAAGTCCATGGAACGCTTCAAACTCTCTCCATGCGGTCGGTGGATGGGTGTTATCGGCAGCACACGCAAGGGTGGCGGCATCGTAACTATCCTCAGTACCACAACGCTGCAGTGGGTTGCGCAGGTGCGGGTCGACAGCCATAATGGCGTGGCTGATTTTGCGTGGTGGAGTGATGGGCAGGGAATGTGCGTTGTTGGCAAGAACGGGGAGGTTAGCGAGTGGGATGGGAGGCAGAGGCGGATTGTTGCGCGCTGGGTTGATGAGGGTGCTGTGGGGGCTACAGTTATTGCGCTGGGTGGGAAATCGGGGTGGGCGCAGATTGGTGGGGATAGGTGGGTGGCTGTGGGGAGTTCGAGTGGGATTGTGAATATTTATGATCGGAGGCCGTGGGCAGCTGCCGTGGCGGCGGTGGAGGTTGGTAGGAAGACGAAAGGGAAGAATTTTGAGGTGGATACCCATGATGATGGTGTTGGTGATGGCGAGGAAGGGCGGGGTGGGATTCTGCGCAATCCTATACCTACGCGCATGCTTGATCAGCTAACGACGCCGACGAGCCATCTTGTGTTTTCCGCAGATGGGCAGTTGCTTGTCATGGCTAGTCGGTGGAAGAAGGATGCGTTGAGATTGAGTATGAAATCTCCTTTACCTTCACCCTAGTTCCCCTTCACACGCCCTCCCTATTTTTCTATGTTCCATGTGAAACTTCAGTTTACTAATTCCAACCTGCACATAGTTCATCTCCCGTCATGCACTGTGTATAAGAATTGGCCGACGTCCAACACACCTTTCGGACGCATCTCTGCAGTTGCAATTGCTCCGACTTCGGATATGTTGGCTGTCGCGAACGAACAGGGGAAGATACGACTGTGGGGGATTCATGGCTAGGTCTGTTGCTCGTATTGTCTGCATGCACGCGCGCGCGTATGTGGACAAGAGCCTTCGATGCCAGGACCCTATTTTTTTAATGCATGGAAATAAAATGAGGGAAGCAAGGCAGGAGTTGAAGCACTGATGGAAGATATAGACATGGATCACAGGACGTATGAAAATAATTGAACCCCAGAGAAAGGTTCCCAGAGAACTACGCTTATATAGAGATGATAATTCATAACTTTCAAGCACGAAACTGGACGGAGAATGAATTGGGTGCGACCGAGACTGGTTCTATATGATACGTATATGGAAAGCTATTCTAGTTTCTCAACCCTCCTCTTCTCTGCCATTACTCCATATTCAAACTCCCAACCCATTAAACCATCCCTAACCCCCATCAACAAAACTTCTTTATCGTCTCCTTATTCTGAATCCCCACTAAATTGCCCTTCTTAACCCTCTCAAGCGTCAACGCCGCAATCAACGCCGCACCAACACCGGATCCATCCTCCGCACCACTCATCACAATCCGATCCGGCTCATTATCCGGCCAGTCCAGAATCTCCCTCAGTGCCTTGGCACCCCTAGCTTTGAAATGCGGATACTTGTTAAACACCGACCCGTCCGCACCAACATGACAATGTGAGATATTTTTCTTCTTGCAGATGGCCGCAACGCCGCAGACGGAGAGGCGCGCGGCACGAGTGCCGATTAATTCCGCCAGGCGCCGGCAGAATTCCAGCTCAGAGGAGGAGGCGTAGATGCCCAGCTTGCGCTGGAAGAGGTCGCGAGTCTTCGAGAGGTTTTCGAAGGGGTCTTCTTCGATGTAGGAGAGGAAGGAGGAGTCGAGGGAGTAGGGTTTGCGCAGTCCGGAGACGTCTTGGTTGGGGAAGATGAGATTGTTCTTGTTATCGATGAGGTCGAGGAGGACGAGGCGGTAGATTTCGCCCAGGTAGAGGCCTGCGGTCATCTTTTCGAAGGCCTGTTGGCCTGGTCGGGGTGAGTCGCGGTCGATTATGATGTCGTATTGGGTTAGGGGGAGGACGATGTGATCGTTGTCGAAGGCGCCGTATTCGCAGTTGATGGCGACGGGGGTGTCCGGGGGTAAGTTGTAGTGGGCAATTTTGGGGATGGAACCGGCGTTTTCCATGTAGGCGGCATTGACGCCAGTGCCGAATATACAACCGATTCTCATCTCGGGATCGGTATAAGCGGAGGCGATGAGGGTGCCGGTTGTGTCATTGATTAGAGCGGTGATCTTAATGGGGAGGTTCTGTTGATTTTGTTAGGAACAATCTGGATTTATACTCTTTGGTGACATTGAGGCTCTCGAAATATAAGTACCTTCTTAGCCAACGCTGCTTTTAACATTGGAACAACATCATGGCCCTCCACTCCGTCGATATCAAAGCCCTTGGTCCACCTCTGCAGGACTCCATGATCAATATAATCCTGCGTAGCGGGGTAGGAGAACGTGAAGCCCATTGGGAAATCCGGGATGGATATATCGCCTTCATGGTAATGTTCGATGAACTGCTGCACGCAGTCGGCAATATACTCCCAGAGGTCTTCTGAGCTTCCGTTCTTCAGCTCATCGGGTATTCGGTACTTGGATTGTGTGATGTCGAACTCGCCCTTCTCTTCGGTGAGGTGAATTTCACAAACTCGTAGATTGGTACCGCCCATATCGAGGGAGAGGTATGTGCCTCGCTCATAGCCAGTGGGGAACCCCAAGACCCATGTTACGTTCATAGGCTTGAAGAAAGTTTGTGTCAGTAAAAGACTAGAGGAGTTTGTAGCCCGCACTGGAGGCATGCGGGAAAGGTTCACAGCAGCAACAAAGCATTGGGTAAGCTCACAATGTTTCCTCCATCGACACTTAGGCCTTTTTATCCATTAAATTAGGTTAACCGTCAGATATATATCTCTAATGAAAATCCCACAATGGCAATGGCAATGGCAATTGCACATAGTTTCTTCTGCTCCTCAAATCCGCTTTTCTGTCGCATCCTACCTAGGAAGTGCGACGCAAAGGGGGAGCGGGTACGAGGGCGCAACAAACTCACCCTTCTCTAACTCCTTGATAAAATGATCAACGATCTTCTTCAGTTTTGCCTGATCGACCGTAAAGAGTTCCTCCAATGTTTTGAGCTGGTCCAGCAACTCCGTTGGCATTTCAGCCATTGATCCTACAGGGGTCCGATTTAGTCAGACTTGGACTCATTTGCAATTGGCATATTGACATATTGGCATTTGGCGCATGAGTACAAATGATCATTTCATGCCCGGAAGATATTATGCATATCTCAAAGGGAATTTGCTGCTGTATACTCACCCTTACGGGAGGACCTTCGGCGAGGAGGAGGCGGTGGCATTGTGGTTTAAAGCCCCTGGGTTGTGAGACTGGTAGATGAGGAACAGATTTGGTATAAATAAGTGGCGGTTACTCAGTATAACATATATAAGAGAAGAGAGAAGAGAACGTGGCGGGCGAAGATGCAACGCGGAGAATTCGGGATTGAAAGTTGAGGCTGAAGGTGGAGTTGATATAGGGTTATTTTTTGTTGGGGTTTCCCGCCTTTGCCGAGTCGGCGAAGCTGACATTGGCGTTGCTTATTGTGGATATAACTAACTGGTTAAGGGAATTTACAATAGCTAACAACTCCACGGAATATGTTAGATTCTTCCAATTCCTCATGCTATTTGCACTTCCTCTTTATAGACTGTATATACCAATCAGCATTGGTGATATTTGAATATTGTTTTGTCTGATCCCCGAACTGCAGCTATTCCGGATCACTTTCGAGTGCGGCGACGTCATAGTCCCTGAAATTCCCGAATACTTATAGATTCTTCCACTAGAAATAGACAGGGTTCGAGAGTAGTAATAAATAGACAAGGGAAGATATTCATAAATAGCGAATACAACACCGCTTCATAAGAACCAATCATAATCAAAAAATCTTTCATATCATCATCATAGTGTTTGTATGAGTGTGGCCAGGAAAATCAAAGCAAGAAATCAGAAGGGACCAAAATAGAAAAGAGAACACAGAGGGAGTAAGTCAATATATGAAAAATTGAACGCACGACAAAATGTAGACTCTAAATGCCCGTAATGTTGGTTGTCATCATCACTAAATCTTCATAGTTCATAATTTTCTCATAAACGGTTCGCACGATAGTCGATATCGACCGAGTCGGATAATGTTTGCTTCCCCATTGAGCCCTTACAGAGTAAACGGTCTTTAGTCCACAAATATCTCACCCCTGTCGTTTTAACCAGTGTCCTGATTTGGCTGTTTCAGTGGCGGTGGTGATGGTTCTTCCTTCTGTGCTGCGGCACCAATTGGCTTTGGTTTAGCCTGGTGTTCCCGTACTTTGTCGGCGGCCTGTTCAGGGATGGAGGTCTCGCTACCCCTCTCCATTTCTCGATTCTGATTTCTATCATCTGCAGATCTATCCGTGGATTCACTTTTGTCCAGCTTTTGTGCTTTCCAATGTACTCCTCCCTTTTGCTGTTCCGTCTCTAACTCCAACCGGACCCGGTTCTCATGCCATCGTGATAAATGCAACATATGATCCACTTCCTCAGTCAGCCGGTCAACCTCGTCACGTAGTTTTTCATCACGAGTTCGAGCCTGCTTTTGCCTATTATCCTCCTGCATTTGGCTTGTTTTCTCGGTATTTACCTTGGCCCATAACTCCTCCAGCTCATCCCGCCAGCCCAACGCATCTGCAAATTTCAACACACCATCGTCGCATTCACCCAGCAGTAATACATCATCTGGCCGGCTACCGAGCCCTCCCACTCGATTCAGGTTGATCAAGAGACGAGGGACACCTTCTCTGCACAGACTAGGTAAACTGGCAAACGGCTGCACAGTTAAACTTGTGCCCATGATGATGCACAGTTCCGCCGCAGTGGTTAATGTGCGGTTTATGAAGAAACTTTCCGGCAGTGACTCTCCGAAGAACACAATATCAGGCTTCACAAATCCACAGCATTTAAGGCATAGGGGTATATCGTTGGATTCTATAGCCTTTCTCATCAGGTCGTCTGGGTACGGAGACTTGCAATCAATGCATGAGTGGGTTGCATAGCTCCCGTGCGCTTCAACAATCATATCCCCCGGTACGCCAGCTTGCCGTTCCAGACAGTCGATGTTCTGAGTGAAGAGCTTCAATAAACGGCCTTTATCGTAGAGGAGTTTAATAAAAGTGTGTGCTATGGTGGGCCGATAGCGGCCTGGAAACATTTCTTTAGACAGAGAGTAGAAGGGTTGGGGGTTTTTGCGGAAGTATGAAATGTCAAATACGGCTTCTGGGTGGGGGAGGTTTAGACGAGCTAGGTTGGCGTAGATGCCCGTGTCTGGAGAGCGGAAATCTGGGATTCCTGCTGCGGTGCTGATTCCCGCACCGGTCTGTGGGGTTGGCCAACGGGTATTAGCAGAGTTTGGTTTCCGGTTTGTATGACCTCTTGTATATATGTTAGTGGAATAGAAGCTTCCTTACGAGAACCACAATCCGTCGTACATTTTTCTCTTTGATGTAGTCAACGATGCCTTCAAGGGAGCGGGATTTTAGTGTTTCTGGCGGAGTCTTCTCGTCCACAGGAACGGAGCTTTCGTTCCCCATTTTGGGTGGGCGGCACGATGAGCCCTTTTGATGTGTGGGTCTCCGGCGACGGCCTATCTTGAAGCCGGAATGATAATATGTATGGTCCTCTGAAGGAACAAGATATGTAAAAAAGAAAGCTGAGCTAGTTACGTCCGAATTGAGGAGCTTGAGTGAAGGTTCCAGACCAGTGGAATGGTAGAACGAGGGTGTGAGGAACGTAACTAGTACTGATAGCGGAAGGAATTAACGAGAGACAGGGAAAATTAAAGCAGAACAGCTGCTAATCCTCAAGTAATGTATGTGTAATATGTATTGTTGGTTTTGTTCCGATTTTGTTGATTGAGATTGGGAACGTCGCTTATAGCTAGGGCGGCTAACTAAAGCTAAATGACGTTAGGCTATCGGCGTTAGCGCTTAACACCTCTCGACTTTTGAACCTGCAACATCACAACTCTGTGGACAACAATATAGCGGGTATGAATGGCTTTTCCTATTCCTCGCCTTTAAGCCCACGCTTAGATTCCAATCCATGGACTTCAGCTTGGAGAGCCTCGATTATCTAAATCGGCATGGGGTATCAATGGCCCAACCCAAGACTTTTTCTGCTGCTGTGGCTCTCAACGGACATAACAATCGAGGGACATCAAGCCTCGTAACCAAGGATAAGAAACAGGATGATAGCACCACAACAAAGAAAAATGAAAATCAAGCCAATGATTCATACGTAAATCATCAACAAGTTAATGGCCACAATGATGAAGCGGGACCAAATCCCGACCTGTCGAGGCCCACAGACATCTACAACGCCCGCACAGTTGCCGACATCAAAGCTATCCTATCCCACCTCCACGACCGCGAAATTGCCGTAACCGCCCGCCTCGACGCCTTCGTAGCTTCTCAGAACGACTTCTTCCGCGAGCTGGGCCGACTGGATCTCCTCCGTGCCCACCTCAGATCGCAGGCCAGCACCACCCGCACGATCAGCAACGACATGCTATCGGACGCCGCAAGCACCGCGGACCGCATCTCCAGCGCTGTCCGGCGTCTCGACCTCGAGCAGTCCCGTGTCAAAGCCACGCTAGACGTGGTGGAGCAAGTTGTAGAATTGAAAGCGTGCGTGCTAGGCGTCGCGGGGTCCATGGGCGCATCGCAGGATTGGGAAATGGCGGCAAATTACATGAATCGTGCTTCGAAGGTTCCCCGTGAAGTGCTACATAGTGACTTTGCGGCGGAAATTGTGCCTACTACTGAAGTTCCTGATCCCCCAAGCGTGACGTTGGAGAATGCGGCGGAGTCGTTGTGCGGGCTGTTTCTGAGGGAGTTTGAGAAGGCGGTTAAGGACAATGATGATGCGAAGATTACGAGATTTTTTAAGCTGTTTCCACTTATTGGGAGGTCGGAGGTTGGGTTGGATGTGTATGGGAGATATGTGTGCCAGGGCGTCGCGGCGCGGGCAAGGGCGAATTTGTATCCTGGGGCTGGCGCGGAGCAGAGGAAAGATGGGTTCTTCTATGCGAATGCGCTGACGAAGTTGTTTGAACATATTGCGCAGATTATTGATGGGCATGGTTCCTTGGTTGAGAGACATTATGGCTCGGGTAAGATGACGAGGGTTGTGGAAAGGTTGCAGGTCGAGGCGGATGTCCAAGGAGGGATTATTTTGGAGTCCTGGAGCGATGACCGTCATGTGGATCGCAAGTTGACGGATATCAAGTCTTATGCTTTTACGTTCCTTGTCCAGAGCTTCCTTCCAGCTTCAAGGACTATGGGGACGCCCGGAGCGAACTCGCCGGCCAATCGCGATGTGGCATCGCATAGATCGAGTGAGGATGAAGGGGTGGATATGAAGGAAGTCGATGGATTGTTGAATGAGGCGGCTGTTATGCTGGGGAGGTGGTCTTTGTATTCACGCTTCTTGGCTGACAAATGCAGGGTAGGTTCAGTTTTACTATGTCCTTGCATATGTTTCAATACGACATTCCTTGGTATATGGAAGCGCAAGTACGGGCTAACAAAAGTACAGAATGACGACGAGGAGGAATTCAAGCTACCAGAATTCCTAGTTCAGTCGACGCTATCCCAAAAGGTCCATGACCGGCTAATAGTCCCATTCAACTCAATGACCACATTCTTCCTCCGCCGCTCAGTAGAGAAAGCCTTCCAACTCGACGAAGGGCCCCCCGAACTAACACTGAACCGCCACCAACCCCTCCGCGCCAACCCACCCCACATCACCTCAGCCGTCGACGACATAATGTACATTGTCAACAAAGTCCTCCAACAATCCCTCCGCACCGCCCAACACGCCGTCATGGCCAGCGTGATGCCAACGCTCTCCCGCGTCCTTGGCTCCGACTTCATCGGCATGATTCAGCGCAAGATGCGGGACGAAAGCTACCCACGAGCAGTGTCAGGCGGTACACCCCCGGAGACCACAATCATCGCCTTCCTCGTCCTCATCAACAACCTCGACGTTGCCATCGACTACATACAACGCATCGTGAAAAGCCACGTCGAGCCACCACCCACTAAGCCGATGACGGCAACGGAAGCCATCAACGACAGGGCTGGCGATGGCGGTGCAGTCCCCGGCGAATCCCCGCTAGCCAACCTCTTCCCCCTCGCCGATGAGGCACAGGAGGTATGCAATCTGCTACAATCCTTCTGCTCTTCCTTCGACTCCAAAGCCACCGACCTCATCAACGATGGGATCCAAGTCGTCGCCAACACCGTCATCAAGTCCCGTCTCCGACCGATCCTAGCAGACTCATTTCGCGACGTCGAGTACCAACCGCGCGACGACGGGGCCGTAGACAGCCATCACCACCATCAGCACTACTACGGGAGCCCCGAATTCGACAACGAGATGCTGGACGAAACTGGCATGGAGGGTACCGGAGGTAGTGCCGTGCGTCGCCGCTTTGCGTTAGCGTGGGCGGATCTCCTGGAGCCCATTGCGCGAATCCTTACTGGGCGGGCCTTTGAGAAGTTGCTGGGCGTGACTGTGGCAGCGCTGGCGCGGCTGCTGGAGAAGCGGATCTGGTCGTATCATGGGCGCGTGAATGCGTTGGGTGCGACGAGGTTGGAGCGGGATGTTATGGGGATTGTGAGTGCAGCGGTTGATGTGGGGGGTGGGGGGGCGGCGGAGGAGGAGGAGGATCGGGCGCGGTTGTATGGCGGGGTGCGATATCGGCATCGCGAGGCGTTTGGGAGGTGTTTGCAGATTGTCATGGTGATGGGGATGGAGGACGAGGAGTGGGAGGAGGTCGTTAAGGGGGGGATGGAGGAGGTGGTGGATCGGCTGAGCGTGGAGGAGCGGGTAAGGGCGAGGGGGATTGTTGGGTACTGAGTGTGTTTTGGGGGGTTGGGGATTGGTGATATATTTGGTTTCTTCTATGGGGTTAAGCGGTGTGCATGTTGCATTTATGTGGTTGGTTTTTACATTTTTGGATGAGAGCGTCGACGGGTTATAGATGCGGTATGGATGCCCAGCTGGGTGCTATGCTATGTGCATGCATTCGCAATCTTTTTGTCCATCTATCTATTATTTACTGTCAATGCCATGTAGCATATGCAACATCCATCCAGCATGCATAATCTCTCCATGTGATCTGCTTTTCGTTGTTAGGCAAGCCCTCCATATGGACATCCCCGAGGCCGGCCAGTTCCACGATGTCAGAGCCATAACTAGGGCAAGCAAACAGACGACTGCTCTCCCGAAACCACCCGACCGGCACCGCCAGCACCACCGGCTCCTCCTGCTCCTCCCGGCGGCCTCTCCAAGCCCTAATTAATTCGGGCAAAAGATAAACGAAACCTCCAAATTCAAGCCCGAATTCAAATCCTCGGATAGATAAACCCTCATCCACAGCCCGCCGGCCAACAACAACTCCAGTTGCGTTTCTAAATCCATCTCCTCCTCATGATCCCAGTCCAACGTTTAATACTACTATTCGGAGTGGTCAATTAACTTTGGAGCCTAGGATATCTAAAGTCGACCTTTGATCCGCGAACGGAAACAAAATCACCCCAGCCCCGAAGAGCCCTAAGCGCCCACCCGACGCCTCCAGCGGGATCTAACCTTATATTTGACTGCGAAAATAAAAACTGCGTCCCCACTGCCCATTTGATCCATCCTGATAAGGGCTCTGGTAAGTTAATACGTTCGTGCATAATGAGTCAGTGTCCTGGCCAAGCAAGACCGCCCCCAACCGTTCTGCACAGTGCGTGCTCCATACACAGTTTTAACACCCCTGCAGTGCCCAGCCCCGCCAATCTGCTGGAGACAGCCGTCGCTGCTGAGGTAGCGGGTAAGGATCCAATGAGAGAGGACAGGCTTATCACCCGCCAATAGCAGGGACAAGAGTCTCGACGAAAAAAAGAAAAAGAAAAAGAAGTAACTGGATGGAGGTTTTTTTTTTTTTTTTTTGGCATTTCCTTTTTCAGAACCCAGCTGATGTGAGAGAGGGATATATATATATTATCTCAATGGCGAAACAATCTGTCTGATGAGGGATTATAGTAACTGCTGTTGTGCTGTGTTCTATCTGTGCTGTCGAAATAGCTGGGAGAGAACATGTATCTCTAGGGATACTCGGGATATTCGGGATATTCCGTAGTGGTTTATTCCACGCCCCTGACAAAGCCCCTGGACTCTGCGTTATCGGCCCAGTCAGCACACGAGGATAAGAGAGCTGCAGCTGGGAAATGGGGCGACTTCTGCAGTGATTAGTTGGAACTCGGTGGGGGGCGTCCATGACTGCATACTATTATTTATTCCCCAGCTACACAACCTGCTTGTTTTTCGCAGTTCCTTATTCTTATCGGGCGGGAATTAGCCCGCTATCATGGAACCAACTGGTTGTCCAATAACTAATTATCCAATGGCGGGATCCGATTCTGGGTTCTGGGGAAGGCTCTGGGGATGGTTTGTGTTTAAATAATAAGAATAGCTAATCAGTCGGGTTAATATTAACTAACTATTGACTTATCACCGCCCACTGCACTGCGCCCAGATAGCTATCCCAGGCGTTGTACACACTTATGTTCGTATCTCTATCCTTTTATCAACCACGAAACCTTCCCCTTCGCCTCCCATCAATCATTGTCGAACGGGGGGGGGGGGGGGGGGAACCTAGGAATGGATATGCTAGATCCGTTCAGATGATAATAACGATTGCCCGTTAAACTAACTAGTTAGCAGATTAAAATATCCATAATAGATATCGGCTTTTCTTTTCTTTTTTTTCTCTCTTTCAGCTTTGCCGAGATCGAGTCACATTTTCGTCTCTCTTTGTATGCACTCAGATACCTGTCTGTGCGCCCGCCGCAGTGCTGATGGTTTTTCTCTTTTCTTTTCTTTTCGTTCATTTTTAATCTCGGGTTTAATTTGGAGGTACAGTTCTGGTAACGTTCGGCACGAAAATCCACCACTTATCCAGATCCATACATAGAGACGGAGCTGTGTTTGCCTCCCGCCAGCCCGCCCATATATATTCCCGCTTAGCACTGTGAAACGCTGATCGGCTTTTTCTTCTTCCTCCTCTTCAGCTCGTTCTTCCATCTCCATCTCCATCTTCTCTCCTGACCTTCTTTTCCTTTTCTTCTTCTTATCCTTTCTCCTCGTCCACCTCGCTCCACTTCGTTTTTCTTCTCTCCATATACCTTTTGCATCTCCACCGCCTCCTGAACTCAGTAAATAATATATATTATATGTAAGCATGTTTATAGTTACACAGGCCTGCCGTTAAACTTACCTTAAACTAACTCCCATACCCATAGATAGCCTCAGAACAAACTTCAATTGAAATTGCGGAAAACGTACTTTGCATATTCAAATTCTGGGCGACTTTGACAATCAGCGAGAGAGGGAAGAAAAGATAAGAAGGGAAAAGAAAAGAAAGGGCGAAAAATAGGATATATCATAGCCAAAACACAAAAGAAAGGAAGATATATAAAACCAAATAAGCAACAAAGACAAGCCATTCCACTGGGAGTACAATGTCGGTTTCCAAGGCCCCATTTGCCCCCGACTATGCCTCGTATAACTGGACCGGTGCCCCTTCGAATTTCAACCTCACCACAAATGCAGATCTGGGCGGCAATTCCCGTGCGTTCCCACCACTCACCTCTCTTTTCTGTCTTCTCTCTTGATATATATATATTAAAACACACACTCACACTCACACACACACACAAAAATGCTTAAAAAAGCTAACTCAGAACCAGGCGTTGAAAACCTCAACAAATGGTTTCAATCTGGCGACCAGGCGTACATCCTCGTCGCCTCCGCAATGGTCATGGTCATGGTACCAGGACTGGGCTTTCTCTACTCCGGGCTCGCTAGACGCAAGTCCGCCCTCAGCATGATATGGGCCTGCATGGGTTCCACGTCCATTGTAGTTTTCCAGTGGTACTTCTGGGGTTATTCGCTTGCCTTCTCGCCCACGGCAACCAACGGGTTCATTGGCAATATGCGTTATTTCGGCCTTATGAAGACACTGGGTGATCCTAGTCCTGGCTCTCCGCTGGTGCCGGGGTTGCTATATGCTTTTTATCAGGTATGTATACATTTTTCTTTGTTTCTTTCTTTCTATTTCCAAGTGCGAGCATGTAAGAGCTGACTGGCTTGGCGGTTTTTCTGTTAGATGCAATTCTGCGCTGTTACTGCCGCCATCATCGTGGGAGCGGTAGCTGAACGTGGCCGTCTGCTACCGGCTATGGTCTTCATTTTTTTTTGGGCAACACTAGTATATTGCCCTGTCGCCTGCTGGGTCTGGAATATCAACGGGTGGGCATTCAAATACGGTGTCTTGGATTATGCAGGTGGCGGACCGGTCGAAATCTGTTCTGGTATGTCTGCTCTCGCGTACTCAATGGTCTTGGGCCGACGCCATGAGCGTATGATGCTTAATTTCCGCCCGCACAATGTTTCGCTGATCCTGTTGGGAACTGTCTTCCTCTGGTTTGGATGGTTGGGTTTCAACGGCGGTTCATCCTTTGGAGCGAACCTGCGGGCAGTCATGGCGTGCTGGAACACGAACCTGACTGCCGGCTTTGCTGCTGTAACCTGGGTGCTCCTCGACTGGCGACTGGCTCGCAAATGGTCAATGGTTGGCTGGTGTTCTGGCACCATTTCTGGTCTTGTTGCTGCCACACCTGCCTCGGGTTTTATTCCACCATGGGCCAGCGTGGTTCTTGGAATCGTGACGGGAGTCGTAGCCAACTACAGCACCAAAAGTGAGTACTTTCCCACAAACAGTGTTACTTCTGCACTGGTTAAACATAGAACCCCAACTAATCATCTCAATAGTTAAATACTGGATCCGCATCGACGATTCCATGGATATCTTCGCTGAGCACGGAGTCGCCGGCATCGTCGGCCTAATCTTCAACGCCCTCTTCGGTACAGATGCCATAGTCGGCCTTGACGGCGTCAACACCGGCGCTCGCATTGGCGGCTGGCTCATCCACAACTACAAGCAGCTATACATCCAGATCGCCTTCATAGTCGCCGCGGCCGCATACACCTTCGTCGTCTCCGCCATCATCGCCTATGCCATCAACATCATTCCGGGCCTGAGCCTGCGCGCGTCGGAAGAGGCTGAGCTGCTGGGCATGGACGACGATCAGCTAGGTGAATTCGCGTACGACTATGTTGAGGTTCGCCGCGATTATCTTGCGTGGACGCCGCAGAATCATGTGCAGAGCCAGGATGGTTATGCGACACCCCGCGCACACCTTTATGGTACGAATGAGCATAGTGTGATGGCGACGGGGCCTGATGCTATCAATGGAAGACCGGTTGTGGCGCCATCAGAGTCAGAGTCTGAGGGTGCTGGGAGCCAGCAAGAGAAATCGGACTTGTCCGTCCCTCCTACGCCTGCTGTCGATGAGGGCGGAAAATAGACCATTGCTTGTATCCATTCTCTGTTTCCATTTTTCCTTCTGTTTGTTTCGTTCCTCGTTTTCACGGAGCACATATATATACCATATCGCGTTTTCGATTGTCAGGTTTGCCTTCTTTCTTTCATTCTTCCTTCTCTTTTTTGCCGGTAAGTGGTTGGGCTTTTCCCTTCTTTGTTCTGAAATTAGAAGGCTCGTTTTTCGTTTCGATTATCAACTTTTAGTCAATGGTTGTTTTCTTGTGCATATACACACCTAGTTATTAATCGACATATACCCCTTGTATAAGCAGTTTTTGTAATGTGAGTCCTCGCGGCATACCGCTGCTTTGTTCAGCTGGCTGGCAACAAAAGACGAAATAAACGGCCTGGGGATGCACGCTGCCTTTTGTCGGGGCCAGTCTGCTTCCGCCCGCACCATATCTGGTTCATAGAGAAGCCGGGTTAAGAAAATGAGGTTGCTCATACTCTCTAGTTCTCCTGACTGGGTATGGACAAAAAAAAAAAAAAAAAAAAAAAAAAAAAAAGGAAAGAAAGAAATTGAGGAATGTGAGCCTCCCGACATCCGTTTCCTGGAACCTGCTGGTTAATGCCTAGGCAGCCACTTAGAAATTTCGCATTGTGAGGTTATCCAATGCCTTGACGGAATCCAAGGTGAACAGGGCCACTTTTTCGTCAGGTATGGAGGCTACACATCAGACAGTGAGCTCCTTGACAGGATGGATAGACCTGAAGCCCGAAGGAGGAGGCAGGTTCGGACTTTTTTATAACATTTCCACTGGAGGCCGTTCACACCTCGCAGACCTCAACCCAGATTGGGGCATGATGGTTAAGACATATACAGCCGGTAAACCAACTAACTCCAAACCCAGGGGAAAACCAATAGGTTATTACACGAGTGGCGTGGAAGATTGAAGGAAGCGGGTGTCGGTTGTCGAGAGAGGAGGAGGTTCAATCTTCCAATGGCTCTCTCCTGGAAGTCACGGACCGAGGCGCTCATTGGCGGTGGGCACGTTTTAGGGCTGGCACTAGTCTTAATTTGGTCTAGAGTCCGCAAAAAGAGCGGCAGGTCCCATTAAACTCTAAAAGTCTATTGCTTCAACGACAATCTCTAGATTCCAACTTCATTCATCTCATTCTAAGTGCAGTTGTTAACAGTTGGTGGTGAAGGTGGAAATCGTTGAGTGCGGTTGAACAACTGTCAGTATGCCGTTGAACAGAATAGGATGCCTCCTGCCAAGTTGACCTGGACCTGGATCAACCCTTAGGTGGGGGGGTTCCGGATGAGAAAGAAATCTTTTGCGGATCTTCTTGTGATTGACGGCCAGATAGAGAATCCGCGTGCTGAACAGAAAGGAATTCAGGATATACAAAGGATGTATGCAAGTAAAAGAGATTTCTGCAGCACCCTTCTCCAATTTCGCTAGATGCTCGAGGACACGATAGAGCAGAAGGAAACAAAGAGGAAATTGATACACACCAAAACACCTTTAACAGAAACAGAAGACGAGCAGATGTTAGGTGATCGATCGAACAGAGCCAACCTGGTGACAGGATATTGGATAGAAAATGCAAATGCTCATAGAACAAATCTCTAAAAAGAAAAGGGGTGAAAAGGGCCTGATATAATTGAAAGTAAAATAAAACGCATGGGCCAATTCTCTCTCCATCCCACTCCCTCCCTACCAACTCAGTTTTCATTTCCACTGCTAAACTTTATACATTAACACTATACCCACCAACCCTAATCCCCGTTATCCCCACCCCTCTATTCCTCTTCTGCCAAGCCAAAAACTTCCTCCCCTCATCAACCCAAAACACCGTACTAGAAGTACAAACCAGAATACACAGATCCCAAAATCCAATCGCCTCCGTTTGGAAAATCCCCTGCAACATCGGCAAGTAGATAACACATGCCTGCGCAACCAGCGACCCGAACACAGCATAATTGAACATCCTGTTTCCAAAAAGTGGCAACTCGCCACGCAGGATCGACTTCGCTTCCGACCGACACGTTAGCGCGTTGAACATGTCGAACAGCACGAAGCAGGTGAATGTCATTGTTGTGTCACGGCTGGTGACGACGCGTGAGTGTGCGCCGGAGATTTCGTCGGTGTGGTCGGTCATTTGGTGCACGTAGATGGCGAATGTGCCGAGCATTATTAGCATGGCTGAGGTCAGGACGCGGCGGATGAGGGGTTTGGTGAGCACGCGGGCATGTTTGGAGCGTGGAGGTCGACTCATGATAGAGGGGTCGACGGGTTCGACACCGAGGGATTGGGCAGGTGGACCATCCATAAGAATATCTATATGGGGGGATATGATGGTTAGCACTAAGGGATTTCCCCTTCCAATGTGAAAATTGGGAGAATGCAGGGGGCAAAAAAAAAAAAAAAAAAACTTACTGATCCATAATATTTGCATTGCATTTAGCGGGTTTTTGAATCCCAGCATTGTACTGAATAGCACAAGACTCAACGCCGCAACACTGGTACTTAGCTGGAATGTGATGAAATTCTGAATATTATAAAAAATGCCCTTGCCGTGCTCAATCGCCCTTAGAATCGTTGAGAAATCGTCATCAGTCAGAATCATATCTGCGGCTTCCTTGGCGACATCTGTACCCAATAGACCCATGGAGATTCCAATATCCGCTTTCTTCAGGGCAGGTGCATCATTGACTCCGTCTCCTGTCATTGCAACAACATCCCCCCGCGCCTGAAGAGCTCGAACGATTTTCATCTTGTGGTCTGGACTGGTCCTTGCGAATATGGAGGTCCTGGAAATGGTTTGGGCCAATTCAGAAGTGCTCATATGCTCAATGTCTTCTCCTCTGAGAACCTCTCCGACATGTGGACAGGGATTAACGGGCATTCCAAGTTTCCTTGCAATAGCTACAGCCGTTGTCTCCGCATCTCCAGTAATCATAATGACTCTGACTCCACCCGCCATGAGCCTGTGGATAGCTTTGTGGATATCCTTCCGGGGTGGATCGTTCATCCCGACAAGCCCGGAGAACACGAGGTCAGTGTAAACTGCGTCGTCAATTGCTTGATTGCTTCGAACCGGCCTTGCTTTTTCTAGAAGTCCAGGCATTGCGGTTCGACTGCTAAATGGACGACCACTTTTCCCTACATCTCGAACCGGACCACTCGCGAAACCAAGAACCCTCAGACCTTCCGATGCCATTGATTCAGCTGCTTGCTTCGCTTCTTGGCGTCGAGCTTCGTCCAAAATTACCTCTCGACCGTCTTTAGTTAAATATGTATCACAACGTTTGAGAACTTCCTCTATAGAACCTTTAATATACGCAACTTCGGAACCGTTTCCGTTCCCAAACCCATTTTCTGACTGAGGGCTGTTGTGGCCAATGATCACGCCCATCCATTTTCGCTCAGAGCTGAAAGGAGTTTCTGCAACCCGCGCACTAATCCGGTCCCGAATATCATCTTCAGCGAACATATCTAATAAATCTAAAATGGCGACATCAGTTGGTTGGCCGACCCATCGACTTCTAATTGCACCAGAGGACTGGTCCACGGTCGACGATAATATTGCTGCTGAGGCAGCAGTGGCCGGGGAATTGGCATGCGCACGCGACAGTCGAGCATTATTGGCAATATTACCGACACGAAGGATAGTTCGCGCCGCAACACTGGCATTCACCGACTTGCTATCTTTGTTTATCTCGAAAGGAGCGTCAGAATCAAAGTGCCACATTTTTGTAACAGTCATGTGGTTAAGAGTTAAGGTGCCCGTTTTGTCACTGCAGACAACATTGACAGAACCTAGTGTTTCCACACTGGGTAGTCTTCGGACTATTGCACCCCTGTTGGCCATTCGAAACACGCCTAGAGCTAGTGTGACAGTCACGATGATGGGAAGGCCCTCTGGGATGGCAGCAACAGCCAGAGACACGCTAATGGTGAACATATCCAACACATTTCTGCCCTGTAAGAGCCCAATAAGCACGATTAATCCAATGACGGCAAATGACATGTAGCTCAGCTCTTGACCTAGGCGGTCCATTGAGAGCTGAAGTGGAGTTCGGGGGCTTTCGATTTCTCGAAGAGAAGCAGATATGTTTCCAAACTCTGTATTAGACCCAGTGGCAATAACAATGCCCTGACCATAGCCGGACCGTACCAGTGTACCCATAAAAGCAATGTTATGTTGTTCATTCAAGCGAAGATCAGTCCCAACCGTTCCAGCAGCTGGTGAATCGTAGTGAGGAGAGCCGGGTCGAAAATTTTCCTTTGGCGGTTGAAGACCGTTTTGTAGATTTCCCAGTGGCTCGGGAGATTTGACGACAGGTTCATTTTCTCCCGTCAGGTTAGATTCATCGATGGAAAGACCGGCTGCGCTTGTGATACGAAGATCTGCAGGAATCCGATCACCAGTTGAGAACAGAACCAAATCGCCAGGGACCAATTGACCCGCCAAGACCGTTGTAGAAGACTTTTCTGCCGATGAAACCGGATGCGGCGTACCATTCATTGTCAACCCCTGCAGCTCCAACTCATGGACGTTGCTTGCCCTTTGCGGCGTAGTATATGCGACGGAATCACGGTGGGGCACATTGCGAATCAAATGAGCATAATGTGGTACCATCTTATTCAATGCCTCCAGCGATTTTTCTGACCTGTATTCCTGAACAAACCCGACACTCACAACAATTGTAACTGCAAGGGTAATGCTGATTGCGTCATCGTAGTTGCTTATGAAGAAGGAAATGGCTGCAGAAGCCAGCAGCAGCAATATCAACGGTTCCTTGAACTGCTTCAGAAACCGCAACCAGAGGGGTTCTGGGTCTTCTGAAGCTAGCTCGTTGGGACCATCATGCAGCAATCGAGCTTCAGCGTCCGATGGGGATAGGCCATGGATGAGCGAGGTGGACAAACGGTCAGCTACCTCCTGGGGGCTGAGTTTCGAATATGTGGATGTGGCCGATGAGGATGCAATGGAACTCGTGCGATAAGGGGAAGGGCTCTCCCGGGAGGGTTCGTGGACATTGTAGAGAGGGAGTGAGGAGGTAGGGGGTGGGAGCCCTGACATGGCTCAGGATGCGAGGGAGACGATCCGGCAGTGTGGCATCCCGAGATTGTCACGAGGCTGGCAAAAGCCGGGGATACGGTAGGAGCAAAAGCATATATCAATGGAATGGGCTTTGGCGTTGGGAATTGCTGGCAGGAAAAGTTAGGAATTGTTGGTGAATTAGTTAACAACTAAAGCGGTGAAAAGGAATAGCAGGTTGGGAAGTTAATATTGGGTTGTTGGCTGATGTTTAAACGGGACAGACGTGGTGGTAAGACGGGATTCCTGAAAATCTAAAACTGGAATCGTCAAGGTGAAGGTATTCAAGGTATTCCTCTATGTCGTTGCCGTCGTGGTTCGTTGTTGTTGGAGACGTTTAGCTGTCTGTAAAAAATCCCGACAGTGAGGCTCAGCTTGTCCAGGCCGTTTATGGACCATTACCTCAGCGGATTTAGCGTGGGAGGAAACTCTGCAGAGAAAATCCCCGGATCAGGCTAAACTCAATTGGCTAATTGCTAATAACGTCAAAACCAGGACATAACTATGAGAGAGATTATGAAATGTATGAAAGGTATGAAAGGTATCAAGAGAATGAGGTATACTAGGGAAGCTGTAATATTTAATCCTGAAAATGTGGGCATGTTGTGTTTATCCGCATGTTCTTGATGAATTCGCGCAATAATAAATTCGTTTAGGGAGTCTATATATAGATTTACAGATACATTCTAACGATCTGCTAGACAGTGCTGGGAGTTTTTAAGGTCCCTGCTAATCTTCAGGTCTCCAGAGATCACGTTCTCCTTCTCCTGCCAAGGGGATGTAGGAGAGTAACACTGGCAGTGTAAATGATGGTAGGCTAGGAATATATCCCATGGAGGTAATGAGGTTAATCACCTCAAATCACCGGACGAATCCGACGCCTGCTTCATTGATCATCCCACCATGGTTTAGCAGATACTGTTGGATATTTGCAAACTGCCTCTGCTTAGTGTGCCAGAGGAATGCCGGCACATTGGAGAGAATGATACGCGCAGTTCCACTCGAACACCATTCGTAACCTTGGACGCCTTCTTTAGGCCACCTTCCTGGAATAACCAGAGCCTAATTCGAAACACTGAGAACGAAGAAGAAGAAGAAGAAGAAGAAGAAGAAGAAGAAGAAGAAGAAGAAGAAAAGGCACAAGTTCGAAAAGCAGTAAGTTGGTGAATTGGTCACCATATATGTCCTTGATATCGCCTGTGTCTCAAGAATTGATCCTTGTTGGTTCGAGATCTATGGGTTTTCACAGGATTGGAACGCGACAGGTGGGAACCTTGTGGCTCCTGCACATAAATGGGCCAGGGTATATCGGAGTGAAGAACCAGAAATTTCCCAATATCAAGATCGGCCACAACATGATATTGGCTGTGAATAACGAATTGTTTCCAAAGTTGTTTCCATAGATGGGGGGTGGTATCAAGCTTCGGGAATGACAGTCAAAGCTGACTAAGGTTAAGCTGACATAATATACACGTGACTTTCCAGCCACCCGATTCTTCTTCTTTGGGACATTTCAAACAACGCGCTTCCAATTCTCCCCAACCCCTCTTATTTTCACCTGTCACCTCCGTCGCCATCCTTAACACTTCTGCCGATTGCGATTTCTACCCTATCTGGGTGTTCGCTGCTTCGAATAGTTGACTCCTCTCCATCCTCTCGGGATTTTGGATACGTTTGATTCCGCAGCTTCTTGGTATACCTGTCGCGCCATTTCAGACTTTGGTCGACCTTACATCAGACCACCAGCGCGTCGATGACTGCGAGTCGACAACCTGGTCGCACTGGCTGTTTGACTTGCCTTCTGGCATCCTGAACTATCTTAATACAAACACTTTAATACTGCGCGGAGTTTACAACTCCATCTCTTCACCATGTTCTACTCCGAGACCCTCTTATCAAAGACAGGGCCGTTGGCTCGAGTCTGGCTTTCCGCGAACCTCGAGCGCAAACTGTCCAAATCCCACATTCTGCAATCAGATATCGAAAGCAGTGTTAGCGCAATTGTTGATCAGGGCCAAGCGCCAATGGCCTTGCGATTGAGTGGCCAGTTACTGTTGGGTGTCGTCCGCATCTACAGTCGGAAAACTAGGTACCTTCTTGATGATTGCAACGAGGCTTTGATGAAAATTAAAATGGTTCGTATCACCACTAATAGGCTCAAGGGTAGGAAATGTAATACTAACAGCCCAATAAGGCCTTTCGATTGACAAACAACAATGATCTCCCCAGCTCTGTTCCTATTCCCGCTAGTGGAATTACCCTACCAGACATGCTTACAGAGTCTGATTTATTTATGAATCTGGATACTTCCGTTTTATTCTCACAGCCAATGCCACAGTTAGAAACAGAAGGGAAGCGGCCAGCATCTTCAATAGGCTGGTCAAGCCAACTTCTTCCTGATACGATCTCTACTCAAAGGTTCGCCACGCCTATGGAGAGACCACACCTCGAAGACGATACCGGTCTTGTTCTTGATTTGGGCGAGGATGACATGCCTTTGGGCCATGAGATGAGTATTGAAGTTGGACGAGATGCACCTGCTCCCCGTCCTGTTGGTGATGATCTTTTCAGCGATGATCGCAGGACATTCGACGGTGAACTCGAACTTGATCATGGTGATACCGGAATCCAATTTGCCAAGCCAAGCATTGAAGAAGATGCTCACGATAATGTGGATACCTTCTTACATCAAACTGATGATGTGCAAATGGGTGGCATTGAAGAAGATCTGGGCGTCCCGGTTGCCGAAGAAGACACTACAATAGTACCTGCCGAAAAACCCAATGAATTCCTTAGGGGTTCTCAATCGCCCCTCTCATCGGTGCGGTCCAGTGTTGTGCGAGACCTTGATGATACTTTTATGAACGAAGAGGTCCGCCACACACAAAGAGTCAAGAGAAGAAAAATCATCCTACCAGATGTCGATACTGTGATCTCAACCCACCAAATAAAAGAGCAGCAAGCTGACCGATCGAGAATTTTGAAACCTACCTCAATTCTACCACGCGATCCTCTGCTACTGACACTGATGAATATGGAAAAGAACGGTGACTTTGTTTCTAGCGTTATGGGAGGTAGCAGCTGCCGGAACTGGGCACCCGAATTGCGTGATATGCTTTCAATTGACGCAGTGCGGAAGTCAAGTGAACTTAAACGGAAACGCGACAGTGGAATTGCCGACATGGATGTTGATGGTGTTGGCAAAATGCCCCAGCTCGAAGTTGATGAGGAAGATGCATACCTACACGGAGACGAAGGCGTTGTCCTTGAAGGTGACACCACCCTGCGCCAGGAATCTGAGATCCACATCGTTGGCGAGGAGGAAGCACGGGAACGCACGCATGATATATCCGACGATGAGGGTGCCGGCTATCATATGGATGGCTTCAACGACTCCAGCAGTGTTCTCCATGCGGCAGAAAGCGGACCTATCTCGCTAGGGACAAAACATGCCGTCCACCTTCTACGAGACCGATTTGGCGGCGAGCCATCCGAGGAGGGTTCATCCCAATCAAGGAAAAATAGTGTCGTTTTCCAAGATCTCCTCCCCGAGCGGACCACGAGCAAGAGCGATGCCACCAAGATGTTTTTCGAAGTGCTCGTGCTGGCCACAAAGAATGCTGTGAAGGTTGAGCAAAGTCCTAATACGGTTGGTGGACGTTTGAAAATCCGGGCCAACCAAGGGCTTTGGGGTTCTTGGGCGGAAACCGAAGCTGGAGGCGGAATAGCTGACCAGACTCCTGAAATTGCTGTTTAATTAACATTTCTGAGCATCTTCTCCGTTTGGATCCGTCTTAAATTTTTTTTTTTTTTTTGAGGGGATGGGATTGATTGTTATAAGGCCAAAAATAGTTCTAGTTTTCGGTCGTTGTCATCTCTATGCTTGCTTTTATCTTTGTGTACTCCCTCTGCTTCCAGTTTTGGTTTTGTTTTCTTCTCTTTTTCTTATTTTTTTTTTTGGTTGGTTTGGGTTTGGAACACATGGATTTCTTGCCGGGCTTATTCTTCCTCATAACCTCTCTAGGATTAGGAGAACCGTTCTTTATAGCCAATCACGCCTAAGTTCTATGTTTTTATAATTCTAAAATCAGATAGCGGGAGCTATCTTGATTATTTGGCGTGGACTGAAACTTGGATGTTGCGTGTACAGTTGGGAAGTTTGTCTTGTTGGATTATCTTCAGTGCTGGGACGTTGAGTGTTTTGTCTTTTCAATCTTTGTTTTTCCCATGAGAGCTCTCACCCATACATTTTTTTCTTCTTCCTTATGGTCGCGGGAGTAAGGATTCTGTGGGGAAAGGTGCTACGGATGATAATTTTTATATAGGTGGCTACGGCTTTTCTCTGGAACATATGGTTTACCAGAGCTGTTGGGAGAGCGGAGTTGGAATGAGGACTTTGCCTTGCCAGAGGCATTCTAACATGCCTTCTAAGATCGGTGGTGAGTTATTCATTAGTTAATTTATATGTTGTCGTTACATCAGCATAAATACAATCCCTTCAATTAGCAGATCTTATTTTATTCACCAGCACGTAGTTTCATTCTCTCCCCGGCCAACAAGGGGCTCCAGGTGTAAAAAGGCAGTCTATCAGGCACATGTGCTAGGGTTTGATAGGACTGGAGATGACGACGCTTTGTAGACGACAAGGCTTTACCATAGATAATGCGTCGGACCCTTCCATCAATTAATATATTATCCACCATATATAGTCGTTTTCGTAGTTAGCAACCAATCAACCAAGCTCGCCAATCTCAGATAATCCTCTAGACGGAAACGAATTCCTGGGAGTCCCCTTTGTTAATGCACGGGAAACACAATAAATAGCCATTTTAAAATCAGTAAATATCATGGTACCAATAAACTTGATCAATAACGACTGCAAGATGCTTACCCGTAAAAAAATGATTGGCCGGGACAATTTCATTTGGCACGGAGGACCTTGTGCATATAGTTACCCATGCCACATAATCAACGAATCTGGTCCGGATTCAAGAAGGCAGTACGTCCGTCCTCTCCAAATGGTTTTTATTGTCAAGGTCTACACTGCTTGAAAGATGGAATCGGAATATGTCTAGGTCTTCATCACCGCATCGTTTGCCGAGAAGCAGAATCTTTCGGTACGCCGAGGGACAGCTAGTTCGGTATGAACCTGTTGAAAGGTACGTAGACAAAGGATCCCCACTCTATGTTTTACGCATAAAAGGCCTAGAGGTGTTCGAGGGACCTAGCCAGGGCATAGATCAACTCCAGAGGCCCAATCCTGAAACAGCAGAGAGTTTTAAAAGGGACCGTACATATGATGGAACGCGCATCTTGGAGGAAAGGAAGAAACGTGTTTCCAGGTTCGTCATTTCCTCCTCAACCATCACATGAGGGCGGAATTTAAACATCCGACTTAATGAGCCATCACAACTCTATGACGGGGAACGAAAATACAGGCGTCAGTTTGGGATGGACTGACACGGGCTCTCTCTCCCAAAAAAAAAAAAAAAAAAAAAAATTACACGATACGTAAGGAAAGGGCTTGAGGCTTGCCAGTGTGACCGGGATGCATGATAATTACTATATATGCTGTCCTTCAGCGGGCGGGCAGTATGAGAGAGAGAAAACAACAACACATCCATTGCGTTGCGGAAGAAATGAAGATGTTGAAAAGGTTTCAATCGTTCTGATGTTGATATAAGGCTGATGGATGACTAAGAATTAGGGAGCAAACATGGCAAACAATTTTTGCCCGGAGAACCGAAGTTGGGGGGAAACTTTTATTAACTAAATAAACCACCCAACTACGGAGTTGTTTGCGGGACTCGAGTAAGCATCATTTTTGTATCCGGAGTTGTTCAATCTTGAAACTGATTTTGGATCTCGGAATTGCATAGCAACTGGGCAAGGGAGCCTCTTCGTAATCTCGGGGGTGCTATTATTACGTTTTATTATCCTTTCCCAGCAAGCGAGTCGGATCCATGCTGATGAAGTCATCGTCGGGGTTGTTTCGGCAGGCAACCTTGGTAATTGAAATGGCAACGAAAGGTTGCCAAAATGCTGGGGAAGAAGAGCAGCACTTTATTTTTATCTTGTTTTAGTTCTTCGCCGGGCGTCGATGGCGAAATTTCCTGCCGCAGATTGTTTTATTGTGCAATTCTTTAAACAAGGTTCGGCTGAAAACGGATCAAGTCATTTTCCTCCTATCATGGGTTGACATCCTTCTCCCGGTTGAGCTCAAGCATTGCTGCTGTGGTTCACGACTAGGAAGCTTTATATCCCCGCTGACTTCCCCACCCCGAGCAAAACAAGCTCCGTACTCCAGAATTTGTTTCCTGGAAAAAATGACTGGCCCTAGGTCCCAATATTCTGGAGAATTCATTTATTTAAATCTTGTTAACAAAGCATAAAAGTTCTGCATCACTGATCGTTCTCGTCGGTGAGACATCCATTCCCTGGGATGTAAAGTCCCGGCGAACTTTTCGACCTCTCAAGAAAATTCCTGTATGAGTGTCATTTGAACAACTGTTAAAAGAGATGCAAGAACCTTCAGAAGGATCCTCCTCTAACAGGGCGAAGGAATACGGTAAGGAGACAGATGAATATGAAAATCTGGATAAGGATCGGCCCGGGGACCAGAATGAAACGTATTTTGAACCAATTCGACAGGCGAAAACGAGAAATGAGGATCGACCCTTGAGCCTAGAGATACAGGCCTCCCTTTCACTCAGCCAACGGTCGTTTAGCGCGGCGAGTACAAGGGGCTCCCGTTCAATGAGTCGAGTCTATTCGCTGTCAGACGGATATTCCCATCCTGCCGTTCAAAACGATAGGCTTCAGGATCCTGAGGAGGAAGATAAGGAGGACCAACTGCCGACCGACCCCGAAAGTGAATATATCGTGAACTGGGATGGACACGATGACCCCGGGAATCCGCGGAACAGGAGTATGGGGAGGAAATGGCTCGTCGTGTTTGTGATGTCTTTTGGCTCCATCTGTGTGTATGTGTCCGTCCCTTTTTCTCCAATTCCCGTCAGCATGTTCAAGTCTGATTTTTGACACTAATTGAGTCCTCATGTTTCAGGACCTGCACCTCTTCGATTTTCGCCATGACGTATGCGCAAATAATGGACGAATTTCAGAGCTCGCGAATTGTTACCACCCTTGGGCTGTCCTTTTTTATCTTAGGGCTTGGGCTCGGACCACTTGTTTTGGCACCTTTATCAGAGGTCAGTAGGTTCAATTCTGTACTGAGATTGCGAGGGCACTATTCTGAAAAGCTTTATATGCTAGTTTTATGGACGGAGGAAAATATTCATTACTTCGTTTTCCTTTTTCCTGATATTGCTTATTCCGTGCGCCGTAGCCCAAAATATCCAGACTCTGCTCATCGCGAGGCTTTTGACCGGAATTTCAGGAAGTGCTTTCCTGAGCGTGGCGGGGGCCACCATTGGCGATATGTTTGCTCGTCATGAGCTTGGTGCGCCGATGATGATCTACACTGCAAGTCCATTATTTGGGCCAGAGCTGGGCCTTTTGTAAGAATGTCTTGTGTGAAATTTCCCTGTGGCTACAGTCGTTAATATTAATTCCTAGGTTGGGCGGGTTTATATCTCAATATACTACGTGGTATGTAGTGCCAGCTCCACATTTTCAAGCAATTGGAATCTGATATCTTTTGCAGGCGATGGGTATTTTATATGATGTTGATATGGTCAGGCTCCATCCTAATTTCTATTATTTTGATAGTTCCCGAGACCTATCATCCTGTGTACGTTAAGAGATCCAATATACATCGTTGGATTTCTTGTGTGTGGCTAACGCTTAAAAGGCTGCTCCGGCGCAAAGCTATCAGACTCAGGAGGGAAACTGGTGATGAACGCTGGAAGGCCACCATTGAAATGACAGAGCGGTCCGTTCTCCAGACAATCCTGCGCTTTGTGTACAGACCTATGCTGCTTTTAATACTGGAGCCCATGTGCTTGAATCTCTGCATCTTTTCAGCCATTCTGTTAGGTATTCTTTACCTCTTCTTTGGTGCTTTCCAGCTGGTATTCTCGACAATCCATGGGTTTACTGTTTCCCAGGTTGGATTAAGTTTTCTGGGCATTTCTATTGGAATGATGTTGGCCATCTTGAGTGACCCGCTCTGGCGGAGGAATTACGCTCGATTAGTTCGCAAGCGGGAGAACATGGTTTGTGAACTGGGGGAATTCGAACCGGAGTGGAGGCTGCCTCCAGGTAAGTTACAGTTTACCAAATTTCTAGATATACTTTGTGACGGATCTTGTTTCAGCAATTGCCGGTGCTCCACTTGTATCTATCGGCATTTTAATTTTTGCCTGGACGATATTCCGACATGTGCACTGGATCGTGCCAATAATTGGAAGCGCCGGATTTGGTCTGGGGTGAGTTCTATTAATTTTATATATTTCTTACTGAAAGAATCGAGCTTTGGCTACCCTTTTGATTTTCGGTGTAACTGATAAGTATGCAAAATGATACTACAAATGATCTGAGCTGACTGTTATGGGTTACCTACCTAAACCTATGAACTACAGGACTGTTCTTGTCTACTCCGGCATTTTCACTTTCCTCGTCGATGCATATCCCCTATACGCTGCCAGTGCTCTCGCAGCAAACTGTTTTCTGCGTTGCAGTTTTGGCGCTATCTTTCCTTTATTTGGAATACAGAGTAAGTTGGTATCTCCAGCCCTTGTTTTTCTTTATTTTCATGCTTCAATGATACACGGAAGGATTTCCCTGCCTCAGTCCGCACACAGAACTACCAGTTCCTAAGCAATTATAACTAATGCATGGTATAGTGTATAATCGACTCGGATTTAACTGGGCTTCCACACTACTGGCCTTCTTGACCATCGTAATGGCTCCTTTCCCGTAAGTACGAAGTAATACGATCTTTTGCAAATATAACATTTTTGTGCTATTCATATGTCACTGGTGACCCTTTGACGCAGACACACGATCCGGATGTACGGTACATGTAACTGTGCATAGACCTCTCCAATGTCGTGGATCATGTGTACACCCCACATCTCATCTGCTCGATATACGGATTGCTCCAATATTTTCGAGTTGAGAATGATCGGTTCTGGTTGCAGCATCGGCCCCTCCATGAGGCAAAGAGAAACGCTGACCCAAATCTGGCAAATATTCATCAGGCTAACAGGTGTATCTCTGATTATAGCTACATATTTTTCTGTTACGGCAAGCAGATACGAAAGAAGAGTCGATTCGCGAATGCTAATGGCTAACGAACAATTTACTTATCTTTAGCTGGCTGTTGATGGGGTCACGGATATAGCTAATGAGAAAAATGAAACAACGGCAAGCATGCATCGTTGTGCCACAATTCATAAATTATTGACATCGGTTTTAGCATTGGAAAAATAGATTCAAGGCGTAGTCTTTTACTATTTCCTCTAGACTTTATGATGTAGATAATAACATATTTACTCCTGCACATGTCAAGGATATATATTAATTTCTATCTGTTCCTTAAGTTTCTAATGTATACTTTATATGGATATGTCTGTTGCACTTGACGTGCGCTCTTTTAAAGAGAGGTTTAATTTCAGTTTCATCTATCTACATCACTGCTTCCAAGACTTTGTATGGCAAGGGCTGTAAGAAATTACCTGAGCAACTTCTTCCATGTTTGGTTAGTCTAATCAACAGCTGTAGAGTTCAGTCCGTGACCACTTACGACTTCTACTGGTGACCTATTCCTGTTTTAAATGGTAACACCTCTGCACACTATACCTGCTACAGGAGAGAAAGCCAAAGATAAACCATTTGCTGCAATTGGTCATGGTGTATTAAGTACATGGCTCCTCCCCGGAGCTGTACTTGAATACTTTCGTACACAAGGGGCACTGGAAAATGATCTGGGGTCATTATCAACTTTCAATAAAGGAGCGTGGAGATGTCGAGTATCCCGAGATAGAAAATACTTTGGAAAAAGTGAGATCGTTATAGCATTTCCAAGTTAGTGTGCTCGTTTCCAAATTTGGGACACAACTGCCGAAATTCATTCACTATCATCCATTGCAGTAGTTTCTCCCAAATCAAAATAGTCCAAGCCCGCCGCCTAACCCGCCGCCTGTTCCGCCTTGGTTGTCTTTTTTACCACCACCGAGAACGCTGAGTCCCGTGGTTAATGCGCTCGTGGCTAAGCCGCCTGCCAGGTCGACGAGATCCTTCGCCCCTTTATTGGAGATACCGGATACATCTTTAAGGCTCTTAGTAGCACCATCCCTGAGAGCCACCTTTCCTTCAGGATTAATGGTCCCGAGAATAGAACCAGTGGCTGACAGGACTAGGGCACCTGTACCAACGACCAAAAGCTCAGCAACGTCACCTGCCAGAGAAACGAAGTTGTGCAATGGGTTGAATTCGGTTCTCTTTGTAATGTCAGCCGAGTATCTGGCTTTACAGTGGGCAATAGCCACAGTGATGGCGGGTTTGTTATCCTTTGTATTGGGGGGAACTATTTCCCTTCCGGTAGACTGGTGATCTAGAATTAGCCTAGAACATACACCCATAGAGCAAAATAAATAGGTCGACGCTCACCGTGACAACCTGAACATAAAGTCGCTTCTTCAAGAATTTCTCAACCTGATCCCCGTTTTCGATATCGATGTTTTCGTCTCCCGGATAAAGAGGGAAGAATCTTAACAAATGGCTGATGACCAGCTGGGCCGTACAAGTAGCACTGCTCAACTCAAGGATTGTGCAGTTGGAGCAAACTTCTTTCCCACCGGCAGTCGAAGGGGCGCTGAAGTTATACACGTTGCCGATCAAATCCTTTGAAGGATCTTTCTTATCACCGTGCTGAAGGTATATCTTCACATTAAAAGGCATGCCGGAAAAGAGGAACCTGTATCTTCTTAGCAACTGGCAGAGGAAAGATGTTCAAAAATTGGGGGAGAATAATATACTTGTAGAAGCTGACATTAATGACAACTTCAAGAGTTTCGGTGCTGGTTGTCTTTCTGGTTTTGAGAAGAGTCGTTTTATAGCCAGCGTACAACTGGTTGATTGTAGACCATATTGCGATCTCGTGTTCGCCCTTATTCGGATAGTTCCAGGTTTGCAGCTCTGGGTAAGCATAATTGAATACTGTGCAATCGCGCACGCCGTTTGAATTATAAAAATTACCCTGTTTGTTGCGGAAAGGTGCAAGTGGAGTGGTTGGGCCAACAGTAATACGCATTGCATCTTCTTCCTTCTCAACAACTTCGCCCTTGTCGTTCAGCATGTTTCCAGATGCATCTTTCAGAATCTCTGTAGTGTCTTCAAACCATTTATCACTGTTCAAAAATTGCCATATTGAGTAGAACCGCTCGACGTTGCTGTGCAGAAATTCGATTAATATTTCTTCCAAAAGTTGATAGTAGCAGAAGCAACTCACGCATGGTGAAGCCAGAAAAATGGATCAAAAGCAGCAACAGGGACTTGTGCCATGTGTCCGTTGTTATCACCACCAGCAAATAGGTGGACATTATTGTGAATTGATTCCAAACTCTGATACCAATGTTTTGTTTTTACCTCGTCTTCGGTTTTTGGAAGATCACCATTAGTGGCAAAAGCCGGGTAAGTCAAAGAATAGTTGAATAGACGCCAAATATTTTCGGCTGCATCATGGTCCTTCTTTGAAATATCTGGGGTGCCTGGAATGAACCAAGGAAGAGTGTTTGTGAAGTTCTTGTAAACCTCGTAAGTCAATATTTCTCCGTCGCGCCATTTTTGGGGGAAGTCTTGGGTCCATATTATGCCAGCCGCCTCGGCCTCCTGTTTAGTGAAGTAATATTTTTTTTCGGGGCACCTACTGAGGCCGACGCAATCTCCATACTTGTTACATTAGCGAACTGGTCGTGAAGGGGAAAAGACAAGAAACTCACCTCAACATCTTCGGTGGGTCCGACTTGCAGTGTACCAACACCATAGTCACCCCATGTTGTCTTCTTCCCGTCTGGCTTTAAGGAATACTGATAGAGTGGGTTGTCTATCACCTCGGGGAAGCCAGGGACCAAGTTTGGAACTTCCTTTTCCTGAGAGGTTGGAGGGAGCCACTTGTTTATCACCTCCTGCTGTGAGTCTGGAGGAGGAAGCGCCCAATCCCAGAAGGGGATCCGAAAGGTTTCAGTCGCTGTTTTATACTTCTCATAATCTTTGTCACTCGTGGGGATTTTTGGAAGGATCTCAGTGGCTATTATTTCTTGGATGCATTGCTGGGTTCCATTAGTTTTGCACATTGTTACAACAAAGCGCGTTGCAAAAGGAGGGAAGTACCTCGTAGAGCGCAACATATGGGCGATGCCAACTCGGAAAAAGAACGGTGCTATGGGTACAATAGCCTGTTGGTTTTGGTCCATTTTTAGGAACCTCTTCCCCGTTCCATGGCAGATATGGCATTCCATGAATCCCTGCAGTCCAAGTTAGCTCAGGGAGGCAACTGTAGGAAATCTGCGGCCTAAAGTCCTACCTGAAATCTGAAAATATGATTTGGGGTGCTCCGGAGGCCTATCGTAAAAGATCCTCAATGCGAGGACGTAAAGACTCCATTTGGGGACATCCTTTTGCAATTCATGGATTTCTAGACGAAGAGGAATTTCACCACGAGGGCCATTTCCAGACTGGACACCCGTAACTGGAATGGGCGCCATTGCGTCTCCACAACTTAAGCCTGATTGATATAAATGCTTAGGAATATAACTGGAGGTAATCAATTAAGGTCAGATTTTGGTAAAATCAATAGAGAATATTCTAAATTGACAAACGGCGGGGATATTAAACGGCATTTATAGACCAGAGGCCAACCAAGATGTATTTCTTGCAGTGCTAGAGGCTGAAGGTTTTACTCACAGGATTCCGTGAACATCCAGTCAGAGAACCCTCCCAGCCACAACCTAAGAGGCCCGTTCCCAATTCCATGCATGCGGGAGAACTTTGGGGATTAGGCTGAAAAATTGAAAGTCGTACAGAAACTCGGGGCTGGCGTAAGACAGGAGTGCCTTGAGCTAAACTGATTATCCTTGAATGGTTGTTCATGCTGGCAGACAGGGAAAGAGGTTACGCCAGTGTCAAGAAATTCGACATGAGATGAACAGATCAACGGCCCATTCAGTAAAAGATTCAGCTGAGCCACACATTATCGCATCGCTTCTATCTCCAGCTTTCTGACCCAGCCGACAATGAATGCAATATGACGTGATTGTGCAGGTAGACGACTCTTCCCATTTCCCCCACCAGTATATCGAAGAGCTCTGCTACTCGTAGGAAGAAGCTTTTTAGAGGCTTCACCTAAATGAGCAGCAAAAGGTGTACAAGACCTTCTCAAGAAGAAAGTTATCCCTTTCGTTTCCCTGGTTGTGTCAGGGCTGGGGGTTGTCAGGCTCCAACCGGGGAATGTGTTTCCTCACAAATGACACTCTTTCCTTGACGACGAACTATCAATCCAGAACCGCCTAATTCGTTTTCGACTTTAGCCTCCCCCGTGCAGGATACGCAGCTCCAATGAATTTTGGTCAAACAGTGAACTTTCCGAGCCTTCAGGCTGTCGAACATGATCTCCCTGGATGTCTGTATTGTGGAAAATGTGAAAGCGGGATGGATTTCTTACAAACTGGGATACATTCAACCCCGCCATCCCCTCCATTATTCATTTCATCTCGATGATGGCTGCGCGTATCCTCAAATTTAAGGTATTCCTAATGTCATGTGCGCCTGCACTTGTGCTTCCCCGCTCGTTTCCGGTGCATCTCCTCAAATGAAAATTCGAAGTGGAAACACATGAATCACATCCTCTTAACCATCCCTCTTTTCAAGTCTTCAAGCAGAAATATCGCGAAAGGCGGGGCAACTGATAAGATAAGTTTATTTGTTGGTTTATCACGACGTGGTTACGTTGCATGAACCTTATTATCCTTTCCATTCTTTGCTTTTTTTCTTCGCTTGGTGGCTTGGAATACTTGCATCGCTGCAATGGCTGCTAGCTTGATATTGTAGGATGACAATTCCTTCCGTAACTTCGATCTGTTATTGTCATCTTTGCTTTTTCCCGCAGGATAAGGCTATGTTGGAGACCGAGGATAAACGTGGCAGTCTTTGTGATTTGACGACATGATTTCAGTTGAGGCCAATGTTGATACGAACAGGGTACGGACAGAAAATTTATCTGCAGTCAATTTGAGATGTAGAGACATTTGAGTTTACGCATGGTTCCCGCACTTGCATATGAACTAGAGAAACTAGGATTCAAGATCAAATCAGTGCGGTCTGTCTAGTATTCTTTAGTTTGTTCAGTACCCCTCCATTATTGTTCCAGACCTTTGCTGGAAGTGGGGTGATGGAACCTCCAAAACTCAGTCGATGCCAGTTGAGCTGTCTGATCCGTGCTTTTACAAATGGCCTTATACAGGAAGTGAAGAGGATAGGATCGATAATATGATAGGTCGATTCTGCATCCATGTATCAGTTAACATTCTTGCACATCCTATTTATTAGTAGCATTTCAGCACAACTGGAAAGGAGTGGTGTATGTTAAGTACTGGTAGTTAGATATTTCACCGGGCGCAAGTTTTTCCCCACAATTAGTTCCAGAGCTTTTGTCCCACGGCCATCCCGAGAATTTCAGGGCATATAGATCTGAAAGTAACATAAACTCATATAAGCTGGAAGAGCATGGCTGACAGAACAAGGATATCGGAGTCAGGTCCAGATCCTGACAATAGTGGTACAGTTTGAGATAAACCTCCAAAGTGAAGGTTAAACTTCAGGACAAATTCGTTTCCCGCCAAGTAATCTTTGGGTTGAAAATGCTGGAACTCTATTCTCAAATAAGGCCCGTAAAAAAGTCGAGATAACCCCTTTTTCCTGTTCCACACTAGTGATCGAGCTTTGACTCCCGATCGAACATAACTTAGATCTTCGCTTCCCTTGGGAGCTATAAAAGCTTCAGAGTTATAAAATTTCACTAAGAAGTTCGAATTTTCGAGCCGAACGAACAAACTAGGGATCATCTGTCGTCTGCTGACCTCCATATCTATCCGATACCCTTACCCGAACATGGCGGTTAGTCTTCGCTGATTAAATTATTGATGACGCCGGCTCTCGAAACCGAACGAACACAATTCCATGTTACCTTTAAAGAGAGAATTGGATGACGTTTAAGAGAGCATGCTGATTTTCTGATCCGTGCTTTGTTTCAACTTTGATGTGGTCCGGTACCTGATATCTTTTAAACCTCAGTCAACAGTCTTTCCCCATTTTATTTGATTGATTTCCATGGTTTTGGGCAAGATTGTCTGGAACAGAAAATTAATAGTGGGTTTGCCTCGGCCTCTTCCGCTTGTTCCACCTATTGTGACTGTGTACTGTAGATCCTCCCCCACCTCCAGCTCTCCTCTTTCCCCTCGCGAAAAGAACAAACGGGAGCGCGGGGTCACAGAAAATTTGATTCGAGAGTGGTCTGGCAAAGAGACATTAAAGCCTTCGAGATCCATGTGTGCAGCGTCCACAGGAAATCGCCACGTCAATAAAAGGAAGGTGTCAACATAACGTGCAGTTATGCTGGTATGAATTGCGTCATTAGTTTTCGATGGGTGTTGGGTTCGGCTGATAGAATCGTGGATTCATCTTGTAAGGATCTTTTGTTTTTCCGCGGCTAGTCTATGGGGCGATGATGCGAGGGGCAGACAACTGACGCATTAATATACGTCTAACTGAAGTGACCTGGAGTCTTGAGGGAAAGCCACGGCACAATGCTTTCATGGCCTTTGCCGACTCGAGAAATTGGAAGCACAATTCGGAACCGAGGTATCGGCGGGTATTCCTGGCCAAAGCTTCCCGCAGATTAAGCATAAATGCTGCTCTCAAGACTTATGAGGAGTTAATATGAGTGGTCCAGCAAGTGGAAAAATGGGACTGTAATCGTCATTGAAGTATCAACGATGGTGAGACAATCACTTAGACGCTACATAACCCCAGCAATACTCCATATCTAGTAACGTGGACGAGAGGGGTCTAGGACAGAAACGCTTATTGAGCGGTTGTCGTGACGTCCAGATTGACAACTGGGTTCATTCGTATGGATATAGCCATATTGGCGCATAAATGCACAGCAGAAACTGCATGAGCAGCAACAGCGATGAACACAAGAACCACGTTTATATATTTTCTAGGTCATTGGAGGAATGCCGGCAGTCAGCTTTTAGGTTTGTGACCCAAGCTGACGCATCATGTGAATTGGGCACTCAAGCGTCCCTGGTTTTTTGTGTCCTTTTGATTCCCCGGTTTACAGGATGGCAGTTACCAGCAGCAATTGGTTCGTGAACAGTTCTATGAAGAAACTGAAGCATGTGCACGCTTAACAACTACGGTTCTCTGCCACCATATGTTGACAAAAGAGAACTTCGTGGTATAAAATCCAAACGATACCATTGAATTGGAAAACACTCATCCTTGAGTCCCAACGCCAACCGCCGGTTCGCAGAGCGGATAAAATGATGGCGAGTGGGATTGATCCTGACATAGTAAAAAATTTGTTCTCCAATATCCGACACCCTGCCACAAAAGCTGATTTCATTTTCCCTCTAGTTGGGGATAGCGACAGGCCAGGAGGCACCGATATCACCAGCACGGAAGCCCTTCGCGTGGACCACTCACATTATCCCCAACAGGGATCACAGCATTCATGCACCCGGGCCCATACCTCTGAAGATTGGGCTTCAGCACACACCATTGCATGAGTTTTCTCTCATTCTTCTTAACAATGCACTTGGGAGACTGCTATCAACGTATCCTAGGAAATGTTTCACATGAATGTGAACATCGCAAATTTCGCGCTGTAAACATGCATGCATCCAATTAAGGAGGCACATGTCCATTCTAAAGCTAGATGCTAGACTCTGATATTGAGCAGTCATCCCGCGGGTTTCGAAAGTTGGCTTCCAATGGCAGCTAGATGCAAGAGAAGAAGGAAAATAGGAAGAAAAAAACGGAGGATGCGAAATGTGCTTTTAAGTGCCGAGACTCGGTTTGAAAGGGATTTACTTCTTGGAGCCGAAGACAGCCTCTCGGAAATTTGTTAGGCCGACATGGGTAACGTGACGCCAAATAGGACCTGGATGTTATTTATCAAATCCTCATACTTCCAACTGAGGCAACGTTTACCGCAAAAGATATGTTTACACTTTTCCCTTTCTTGGTTCATAAAATTCCGTTGTTTGTGAGCTTGCATATTTTGTTTGTAGTTCGACAGCTAGTTAACCAACTGGCTGGCGGACAATTTCTATTTCTATTTCTCTTATCCCTGATTCCGACTTGTTATTACTGCAGTGAGGCAAGCGTCAGATATATGCTGTTCAGTCCCTGAACAATCTTTCCGAATTGTTTTTACCCTTTAAGGACCAGAGTGTTTTCAGATGAATCAGATCTAGCCTTGAACAGACCCTTTTTGCGGACCTTTGAGGGGCATAATATAACTAATATGCCAGTACACAACTACTCGAGTTGCAATCGAACAGCTGGCATGGCGAGCTGCTATATTTCCTGCAAAATGACATCGATCAGCTCTCTTATGGAGCATTAACTTGTTCGATCAGGGCATGGGTTCGTTTCATTTCTTGTTTGGATAAGACTGAACCTACCTACTACCTGATTATGTACTTCTTTCTAAATATACCCCTTTTATCCAAAATACATTACACTGCATTTACGCGCATTGCACACATGCATGAACGGGATGAGGAGTGCACGACATATAAGGTGGATACTATACCTGTACAACAAATCTCCTTTCTGCCTTATTTCCTACGTCGAATATGGTAGATTGACCACATGCCGATTGCACATGTATGAGCCAGAAATAAGAACGCTAATGCCACTTTTTATTCTTGCCCGTGTCCTAATTTGCATACAGAATTGACAGCAACAACCAATAAATGAGACAGGCAACAACGTATCCGTGTTATTGCTATCTCCGCTTCTCTATGAGTCTTCCACGGTAGCCATATAAGCTGGGCAATATGCCGCGGTTGTAGCTGGCTGTGGCGGGTTTCACGTGTGTGCTGGTTCTCAAATCAGCAAATCTGAGGCTCAGCAATTTGAACCAAACACATTGCAGTTGTCATGTTGCCCCCCTGCTTTTGTTGTGTGTGGAAAACGAGGGTGTTTACGGTGTACGATGTGCAACTGGTATGCACCGCTGAAGACTAATTAACTAACCTCTTCGTTGTATAAAGGGGAAAGTGAACCTAAAATAAAAGATGTGTTGTTGTTGCATCTCACATTTCCTTTTAAGTGCTTGATAATTTAGAATTTAGATCCCACTGTCTACCTCAGACCTGTTGCACGATTTCGAACAGTCACCCTAGAAGATGAAGGGTAGATTTATCTTAACTGCGCTGCGCCAAACACGAACCTTCAACCATAAAGTATGCAATGGACAGCCAATGGGGTATAGAAACCAAGGTAGGATAACATCAAACATTGTCTACCCATATACGTATGCTATATGTTGGCATCTCTATATTGCATTAATGCGGAGTATTTGCATGGCGGCAAGCTGGCAGATTGACAAGGGAATTATATGCAAGTACCAAACCGGGTGTCCCCCGGAAAGTAGAGACGGGAGATAAAGAAAATATGGAGTCAAGTTCGAGTTTGATGTGCGTGGGCTGGTAGCATGCTTCCTCGTGCATTCGTAGGGATCCAGAGAGTTGTTCTGTGGCACGTCTCCATCTTCAAGAGCCTCCGTGCTGTGACGCTTCATAGTCCTAGAGGACTCATAGCAAGAAACAGAGTCCAGCATGCAGAATAGGGTGTTGACGAAAGGGCTTAAAAGAGAAGTAGATTGAAAGGGATATGTTGGGTTTCAAATCTCGATTGACATTTCTTCAATGCGCTTCTCGAAATTCTGCTTCAGCTGTATTCTTCGGTTGTGTCGCATCTCTCTCCCTCCATAGGCTAAATCGGTCACCCAGCTTGCTTCTTCTCCTGAGTATCCTTAGGGGTCTACACCTCTGTATATTTTAAAGCGTGGAGAGAATTCTCAGTTGATAAACTTGGGGGAGCGGGATTAATACACCCCCATTTCATCTCTCACTCGCTAACCAGAGCTTCCCGACGGGCAGATTAACCACGCTCTGATGGATTCTTCCTTCCAACAGGGACCATAGTAAATCGGCCGAACTCTGGATGCCAGCAGAGCCATGCTGGTCCTATCCAACTTCATGGCCATGGTGGATTTCAAGATCAGGGGCAATCAAAAAGGACAGCTTCTAGGACAGTAGCAGCATCACACACATGCAATGAGCTTGAGGAGATGGTTTTGGCAAAGGCTAGTAACCAATCTCTAGAACAATGTAAGCTGCTTATATAAATCCAGTAAACACCGCATAAATGTGTAATCTACATTTTCCCGGGCCGTATGTTCGCTGTTTGAGGGTCTGACTTTATACCGAAATAGAGTTTTCCCTTCTGTTCTTAACGGCTGCGTTTCCGTTCTTTTGAATTTTTCCTTTTTGCTTCTTTTCATTTCCCGATTTCATTTCTCCTAGAATTCCGCAGTATGGATTGGGAGGGGAGATACGTAAAGAATACCTAATAATTGGTTGCTTTGAATTCCAGCTCAATTCTCAACTGGATTCCTGAGGACAGGGGGAATATAGATAGTCAAATACGGCAAACAACTTCCGAATCGTGTATGAGCCAGATCTTATGCTTCAATGCGCAGCTGTTGACAAGTGAACAAGCCACAAAGGACTAAAAGCCACGAGCGAGCCTTAGGGCCCGCCGCACGCTCGCATTCCGTTTATAAAATGGCAAATTCATTTCTTTCTCAGCAACTGAGGCACTCAGAGGCTCTGCGACTCGGCCATTCTACGACCATTACCGATTCTGGGACGGACTTTCGAGGTGAATACCTGACAGGGGGCCTGACCAACTCAATGCCAAATCGTCAAGTGGCTTCTTAACTGCCTGCATCCGCTGGATTGCTGCATGCAGAGAATTTACATGAGAGAGCTGTTTCATGTGTGTGCACAAACGTCAATTGATCGGCGAATCCCTCAGATACAGACCGGAAGATGAAGGGAGCGACGAGGGACGTTAATGGTGATTTGAGTAAATGGTGTGCAGAGGGTTTCTATTGCTTCGCGGTTCCGTGGATTGAGTGGGAAAGGGGAAGGAGGTCAAGGCGTGGCCAATGGCCGGGGCGAGGGCATGCTTTGTTGAGCTATTCATGCATAAAATAGCCATGACATCATGTCTGTAACTAGTTACCCGGCCATTAGAGAGAACGGCGATTGACAGTGCAAAAATGGTGGTGTTCAAAGCATGAAAGGTGAAGATAAGCGGGGGTGGAAAGCAAGAACAAGAAAAAAAGGGAAACCAAAACGCCGATATCCATGGGATAATCTCTCCCGCCTGGACATGGACGCATGGGCATGGGAAAAGAAAACAAAAAGGGCGGTCAAGGGGAAAGTCTTTTCGACCACTGAGGAGTCAGGAGACAGGACTGAAGCAGGTGGTAGTTGGTCTATTTAATTCGCTGTTCCCCCGCGGTTCCTTCGATGTCATTGATCCAATCATACCAATTCATCGGTTTCGCGATGCTGGCT